AATGAAGGGACATGTTTACTATCTGTGTGAGTGAAGGTAACAGACTGCTCAGAACAGACTTCAGAAATCTAGTGGGTAGTACATCCAGGCTGCATGTGGAGGAGCTCAAACTGGAGATTATCTCTTGGACAGTTTTTGGCTGTTGGATGGTTATCTGTGGATTGGATTGGATAGATTATTATATGCCAATCCCATGGCTATGGTATTGACCCAACAGACATTCTCTCAGGCTTTCCAAATATCACGCGGCTCTCGCCAGGGATGTCCTCTATCACCTTTGTTATTTGCGATTAGCCTTGAACCTGTTGCACAAGCAGTACTCCAGTCAACTCTCCATAGACCCATCAACATAGCCAAAACATCTCACTCAATATCTCTTTATGCAGATGATGTATTACTCTATCTGGAGGATGTGGCTCATTCACTCCCTCATCTCCTTGGCATTTTCAATAACTATGGTCTAATTTTAGGCTATAAGGTGAACTGGACAAAGTCTGCGATACTTCCACTCAATAAAACTACTCTTCTCGAAAGCACAGTATCTAATATCCCAGTGGTAGACCATCTGAAATATCTTGGAATTTCTATATATCCTTGCCTCTCAGATATAGTTAAAAACAATTACAGTAGACTAGCATCAGATGTCGAAGAGGACTTACGCAAATGGAACTCACTCCCCTTGTCTTTTCATGCCCGCATTTCAGTAACTAAAATGAATATTCTTCCCCGCATCAATTTCATAAGCTCAATGATACCCCTCTCACCTACAAAGGGATACTGGGAAAAGCTGCATTTATTAGCTGCAAACTTTATCTGGAGCAATAAAAAACATAGTCAAATTATCAATTTTGCAAAAAAATAAAAATAATGGAGGGCTTAATGTCCCAAATTTCAAATGGTACCACTGGTCTTTTGTTCTTCGCCCCCTGAGTCAGTGGTTAAACCCATCCTCAATGGCCTCTTGGAGACCCTTAGAGGAAAAACTTGTGCTTCCTCATAGACTCCAAGACTTTTTGTTCGCAAATACTTCTTCAAATGATTCTTCAAATGATTCTTCACAGTATGGCTCAATAATTGGTGAAATGATAAAAATTTGGAATAGCATTAGCAAACTCTGCAATATCCAGGGAAAAAGGTTTTCTCATTCTCCAATTTTTCATAATCCTCTGCTTACTATTGGAGGTATCCCAATATCTTTCTCTCAATGGTCCAGTAGAGGAGTACATGTTTTGCGGGATATTTGCAACTCTTCCGGTCTCTTAGCATTTCAAGATTTACAAAAACTATACAGTTTGCCGGGATCAACCTTTTTCTTCTACCTTCAACTGCGGACAGCAATGCGCACTTATGGTGTCCCGTGGAACAGAACATTGAAGTTCCTATCCATTCAATGTTAATGAAAACATATAGATCAGTCTCTAAATTATATTCTCTTTTGCAATTAGCTGAAGATGAGCCTATTCGTGCTGTCCGATCGTGGAAAGAAGATCTTTTTGACCCATCAATGGCTAATTGGCAAACTATTTGGCTGAATATGCAACTGTCCTCAAGAAATCCTAATCATCGGGTCATCCATTTTAACTTTATACACAGGATATATTTCACTCCAAGTACTTTATTAAGGAGGAAGGCACTTCCCTCTCCTAACTGTACACTTTGCAATCACAATACACTAGGGACATTTCTCCATATGGTTTGGGATTGCCCAGAGGTTAAAAGTTTCTGGATATCTGTCTGTAAACTATTATCCGATTTGTTATTGAAGGATATCCCCTGCACTCCCGAAGTCTTACTTCTCAACGATAGCTCCACTCTCAGGTTTAATATAATGGAAAAACGTGTATGGTTGGCTGGTCTTACAGCAGCTAAGTGTATACTTGCTTGTAGATGGAAGACACCACAGTTTGTCAACACGAGAAAATGGCTTAGAGACTTCATTGATATTGTAAAACTAGAACAATGGGTCTCACAAATGCATCATGCAAAACCAACTAACATACAATACTGGGACAAAGTACTTTCCACCATTATCCAAGCACTGTGCAATTAGTATAGGGCTTCTCATAGCAGAAGGAATAACTTATTGCTACCTAGATATCGATGTCTAACATACTGCTTAAGGTCCGGGCCTGGGTGGTTGGGGGAAATTGGGGGGGACGGGGTGTGGGGGCGGAGGGTTTGGGTCCTAGGGGGCGGGTGGTAGGGGGTGGGGGATGAGGTTTGCTTTCCTCCCTTTTGTTTCTCTCTGTTGTTGTGGTTTACACACTAATTTAATCTCCTTCCCAGTACTGTTCTATTAATGTGTACGCATTCAAGCTACTAAAAGCTTCAATAGGAGGTTTGCTTTCCTCCCTTTTGTTTCTCTCTGTTGTTGTGGTTTACACACTAATTTAATCTCCTTCCCAGTACTGTTCTATTAATGTGTACGCATTCAAGCTACTAAAAGCTTCAATAGGAGGTATTCCAACACTGTTTGGAAAATGTGTGTTTATTTTTATTTTATTCTTATTATTCCTATTTTTTTGAATTTTGTGTATTTTTATTTTTTACTAGAACATATACATGATGTGTTTTTTTGTTGTTTTTGTGTGTGTGTGAACTGTACTAATCCCTGCACTCTCCTTGAAAATAATAATAAAAAATTGATCACAAAAAAAGAAGAACCTTATAACATAAAATATACCTTATTATATTCATTAGCTTCGAGCCCCGCAGGCCTGCCCTCTCTTATTCAGCTGAGTTAGAAAGGAGAAGAGCTGTGGTGCAGGGCCCTATTTACATGGGACTGACCAGTGGGGGCGGGTCTCAGCTCAAAAGTGGCCAAAATGATGTGCACTGACATGCTTGCAATACCACCCCGGGCCGATGGGGGTGGACCCAGAAGAAGAATTAGCCAATGCTAACATATAGCATTCGTTCCACATGTGTGTCAATGCTGAGGGGGGTGAATTTTTTGGACCACTCTAGTTTACTCACTGTGAATTTTTGAAGTTTCTCGTTCAAATGAATGGAGCTTGCGCCGGCTGACGCATGCGCAGATGCGTTTTTTCCATAGACTGTATATATTAATGGACAGAGTCACGCCTATTTCCGCCGTTCTAACTAATGGGCCAAAAAATGTGCTTTACTGGAGCAATCCAAGATGGCCGCGAGTGGTCCCGCCCACAAGAAAATTGTGAAAAAACCCATCTGCGCATGCGTCAGCCGGCGCAGCTCCATTCATTGACACACACGTGGAACGGAGCTTTGAGCCAAGAGCCAACTTTTGGTCCATCCTGTAAAGACGTTTTTGAGAGGTCTGCCAATGCTATATGTTAGCATTGGCTAATTCTACTTCTGGGTCCACCCCCATCGGCCCGAGGTGGTATTGCAAGTATGTCAGCGCACTTCATTTTGGCCACTTTTGAGCTGGGACCCTCCCCCACTGGTTTTTTCACAATTTTCTTGTGGGCGGGACCACTCACGGCCATTTTGGATAGCTCCAGTAGAGCACTATTTTTGGCCCAATAGTTAGAACGGCGGAGATAGGCGTGACTACGTCCATTATTTTTTACAGTCTATGGGACTGACCTACGCCAGGACGTCAAGGTGATTGGAGCGGTGGATCGTTTGATCTTCTCAGGGTGGGTAGCGGCGCTTCCAAGAGTTAAAAAATAGCGAAGCCTGAAGGGCTGAAGCAACATATTCATAGAACTAAATTACGTAACTGAGGTTTTTCTTAGATTTTATATACCTTCAATATGTAATATTAGAAACTATGTATTTCAACGATTTCCAGAAAGTAAGTGTATTCTAGATACTAGACGATTAAGTAGTAACTGTAATGGAATAGTTACTCCGAGTATTCGGAATATGTAACAGCGTTGCATGTATTCTGTTACTCCACAACACTGAGGTGATACGCAATTCCCTACGGTGATGTGAACACAACCATGACCTCATTGATACAATCATCCGTCCACTTTCATGCAAAAATTTTCCATCCAAGTGGTCAGAAAACTCAGTCAACATATTCGTTCAGATCCACTGGGTTGTTCTTGACGAAGCATAGCTGGTGTACCAGTATAACATTAGATGTTTTCAGTACTTTGTTTAATATGTAATACAACTACCTGACTGTGCAGTCACAGTATGTCAGGCTTGGGAAAATCATGGTCTGGGCCAGTGGTGAGGAATACAGGAGAACCACGGGGTACCGTTTTGACAGGCTAATCAGGAAATGTGTTTCTATGATGCCACAAGTGTAGACTCTGTTAAAGCTGTGCAGGTTAAAGTAGGCCAACCGATGGAAAGCTCCTAGACATGACAATACAAGTGATTTTAATACAATTTCATATTGGCTTTTTCCCCCTAGAAACCTCTGGAAAATGATTCCATAGACAGCCATCTTAAAAAAACCAGCATGCACAATGTTGCTTTATTACAGCAACCATTTTACACCATCTTCCATTGGGTTTTATACGACAATAATAAATTCCAAACAAAAAATTACCAGTTAGTAAATGCTTAAGACTTTAACAGTGGTTTATTATTTCACTTAACAGATTGTATCAAAAACACATAGACTAAACATTAAGACAACATTATTTAAATGTAAAAAAAAAAAAAAAAACATTGATCCAGGAATACTAGGCGTTAGCAGTCTATCAAAAGGTGTGTGACATTCTTTCAATGATAAGCCACCTGGACACATGCCGTTCACAGGTGTGCAGCATGCAGGAAACGCGTGTACAGATAAGACCGACCGGTTAGCTTTCAGAGAATCTAAACCAGACATTCTACTTTACCTGACAAACAAGAACAAGAACACAATAAAGAGTAATAAGAGTATACCATTTGAAAGTTTGGCAGTAAGACTGTTCTTATGTATAGATTAAAAAAACAAACCATTGTGAAACATTACAGGCAAAAGTACATTTAGATGGACCTCTGCAAAAAGTGGACCTTCTATCAGGAAAGTTGTCTAGATGCGTCTCAAGGTACCCCATGGTCATGTGATTTTATCTAACGTGGTGGAAATCCCCTGTGTGGACCTCCTCTACCCCTGAAGCCACCCCGATCACCACGGAAATTTGGTCGGTTTCTTTCTCGTCCTCTATCTCCTCCTCTTCCAGTGTTGGGCCCACCACGACCTCCTCTAGGAGCCCCACCACCTCGGTCGGACTTGAGTTTAGCTGGAGATTTAGGACGCAGACGCTCAATTTCCTCTGTACAACCTGAAAGGTTGGAGTTGGGTAAAGTAAAGTATGAGGCAAAAGCCTCCGGATTGAAGTTACTGTTTGTAAGAGTGGGACCCACTGTGAGCCAGCCTATAAGAAAAGAAAATATATGTTTATATAAACGGAAACAGTAATCATAAAGTATTAAAGAAAGAAACAAAATAATACAATCTACCTGGCCTTATAGTGGAGTCTCTTCCAAACAAGTGCAACCTCCTCCGTCCCAAACAGAAATGTTCAATGATATGGAAGATCTCTACTGGTTTCTCTACATTTCCCATCTCAGGTTCTTCTGTGATGATAAGGTCAATGTCAACATTGGCATGGATGAAATCACCATCGGTGCTTCTACGAACAGTGCCTTTGATTCCCATCAAACAGTGCTCCTAAAAAAAACATATCATAACATGACTGATCCAAATTGATACAGAGCATTGTGTACCATTTAAAGTTCACACTTAAGTTGTGTGTATACAATAATTAAAAACACTTTTTAAAATAGGGCATCCTATTCAAATGAATGGCTTGTGCTCAGGAGCGCATGAGACAGCCATGGGGACCGAAAGATTAGATATTTGGGCATCAACAGGTCCTCCCAGTTCTGCGCAGTAGCTGAGCTCCCATGATGCGTTGTGCCAAATACGCGCGTGTGGTTCTCACACACGTGAACAGAGGGGCTTGGCCGCTCTTTAACCAATCAGAGCTGCTGATCAGTGCAGACTAAGAGCAAAGCCAGAGCGGGAAGAAAACAAGCAGAATTTGTTGCATTGAAGTGTAGATTTAAAGAACACCGAAGGATTTAAAGCTAGACTACCTCACTTGATTTTAGAAAATTGAATCCATTTCCATGCAGTTCATTGGGATTAGGGGTGTGACAATATATCGATTTTTTTAAATATCACGATACTTTCTTCCGTGATTCAATTATCGATATGCATTTGCCAAGTATCAATTTGAATTTTTTTCAAATCAAAATTGTTGCGTAACGTCCACTGTGCAATCCCACTTGCAGGTGTGCCAAGTTTGTAGCAAATCTTGATCCTTTAAGTTTATATGAACAACCTCCCAGTCGTCTGTCCAGAGGTGAAAATGCACAAAATTAAAACTATCAGCATGTCATTTTCTCCTGAAGATATATATTTTTTAAATGTAGACAAATTGTTAGTTGAGGATTCTACAAAATATGTATGTGTTGAGCTTGACAGCACAGTATTTTAAAAAACTAAAAAAATCAAATGCATCAAATTTAGTTTGTCACAACTAAGTGGATTTGTCACTGAAAGTGCACAGATACAGCAAAGCTCTCCATGTATTCGATGATATTTTCACATTTTACTTATTGTTGCACACGCTGGGCGTTGGCCCCAGATTCCTAAATAATGAAGTGAACCAAGTTCACATATTTTTTGCCAAATATGTATCTAATAACCTGCCATCCCCAACACTAAATATCTTTATGAGAAGCTGTGAGGAGGTGAGACTCCATCAGAACCACAAACAGAGAAGACTGTTAACTTTAGATTCCTCCTCATTTGGTCAGAACTGCTTCTCTGCTTCAAAGCAGCAGGGGCCTGGAACCATGGATCTATTATAATATATGGATAGGGCATTACTAGCTTATAACTGTCCCACCAATGGGCACAGGTGGCATCTGCGGTACAACAGAATAAATTCAAATGGGCTAAAAATGCAAGAAAAATGTCACATAGAACTCAATGTAACCTAAAACAGCTCCACCTCAGCTGCTGTATGGCAGTTTATTAAAATAAAGCGTTGTGTAAGACAAAACTGTCACAAGGTGGGTCCAAAACCAACATTTATAACACCGGCAACTTGATCAAACATCTGAAAACTCACCACCTCGCAGAGTATAGCTAGCACCGGAGCACAAAACAACTCTAAAACATAGCATTTTTATGAGTGGAATATGACAAAATATTTAATTGTTAAAGCCTTTTCTTATTATTGACATGAGAAATGAAAAATTTTAAATGTCAGTTGTATTACTTTATGAATTCCTAGGGATAACACAATGCAGTACTCGTAGCGGTATGGGCAAGTGCTCAAATTAAGGTGCTCGTACTTGTATCGTTTTTGAAAAAAGTGGTATCGGTGCATCCCTAATTGTTAGTAACTTTTAGAGTTATGTATGGATTTATTTGTCTGTATGGTTGATGTGATCCGCTGCTGGACACCTGCATTTTTTCGACGGTTGATTGATAAAGTATCATAAAAATCAGTGTATGAGCAATATCTATGACAGTGGATACCATACTTTGGTCCTTTGGAACACTGCTTTGGGGTCCAGTGCCTTTGTCTTGCCAGGGTTGTTCTTGTTTGTCTTTATCCAACAGATATCTTCACATCGTCTAAATCCCCATTTTCTCAAACACTGGAAAAATACAAAATAACAAGAATGAGAATGGGAAATCTCAAAAAAGGTCTGAAACGCAAAGGATGCAGGATCCTATACAAACAACAGCCAGTTCCTGGGTAAACATAATATACCGCTCCATTTCAAATGGTTTTATCATTCTTTAACAAGAGAAAGTAAACGTTTGCTCTCGAAGAATAAAAACCAGCAAGGTTTTATAGTTCAATGTTTGTATCTGTGATGTAGCTTTTTGTAATCATGTCAATATTTTATTGATTAATGGAAATTAATTACATATTTTTCTTTGTTCTAAATGTCCCTTGATTTGGTTTGAAAAGGGGTTGGATGAAGCAAAAAGCTTATATGAATCTAATCCCCTCCAAAAACAACAGTATTTGGATTTTCTACTCAATGGCTGCTTTTGTTATTTATTTGTATAGTGTCTTCTAGAAAAGGGGTGCACACACTTAATCAAACCAAGATTTACACCAGCGATTAAAAAATAACCTAAATATGTTTTTGACCCAAGGGTATCACAATGATAAATCAGGTCATAGCAAATGACCAAACATGAATAAATTGACTTTTAATATGGCTACTATTGCTAATTATTTTGCAAACAGTAAAACATGCAAGAAAGCCCAAGCACACACTAGTTATAGTTAACATAGATCTTCCAGTACAATCATTCAAAAATAAAATTACGATTAAAACACCGTAGAGCTTTTTCAAATTACTTCCATGTGTGATTAAACTGTTAAAAATGTCTTTTAGGTTTGTTTGAAGAAGCTATACCAGATTTATTTTCAAATAATTTCATAGAAATGCCTATTACTACATAAAAGTTGTATTAAAATCCGTAATTTAATTGAAAAAACTTGAGCTCATTGATTTAGCTTGTGAATGAATTCAGGCCGTAAAAAGTGCCGAGACGAAACTTAGCTTAAGTGCTAGTTCTCCTCCAATCACAGAACAAGGAGCGGTGCAGTTACAAACAGGCTGCGTCCTCTAGCGTCTGCAGCACAGGTAAACACAGCAGCATGGAAGACAGAAAGTGGCTATGACTCTGGCTGTAACCGCAGACACAGCAAAACAGCGCAACCGACGCAACAGTGAGGAGGAGAAGAAGGAACTAACGTGAAAAAAATGATCAAAAGACATCACGCCCGGGTGAATATACGTAGCGTTAGCTTACATCGTATCCTCTGGAGAGATTTGCTGGAGCGGGACCGCCTCGGACTACATTTGGACGCGAAAATAGCTGTAATCTTTCAGTTATATATTTTGTTAGCAGTGCGTTGCTTTTGTACCAGTTCATCAGTGATTGTTGTAGAGCTTAGAAGGAGTTTCGCTAATGCTAATGTTAGCATACGTATCAGATCGCAAATAAAACTAGGTGGCTTCGTGGAATGAGAGCGTAGGGGAAATGAGAAGCCTCAGAGAGTTGGGGGGCGGTGCTAAACTTTCAAACTGAAAAAAACTTTGCAGAAACAGTCATAGCTCCTTTACATTTGAAGTAACAGTATTCCTATTGAATTTACAATTCTATCTAGCATACAATATATTAGGTATAAATTCAGATTTTTTCCGAACAAAATTAGTTGAATCAAACACACAATAAATGGTTATTACAGTTCGGTGTCCAACATTTGTTATATAAACCAATCAATTGTTTTCATGGGAAAGTTAGCTTTGAAGTTGTGTATAACATGCCAGGGTAGCCAATTTGAACCTTTAACTAGCAAAGTTTTCATGTTATTACTAAATAAAAATCATATGGAGACCCCTTGTATATACCTTCAACCGTACCAATTCAAAAAAAATTGTATTAGGGCAAGACAAGGCAACTTACCATTCTTCCGAGATCTAATCCTTCTCCAGACCCACACCACAGAAACACAAACGAGCGAAGAGCTGATATCTCTTCAATTTCCAACTTCATAATCTAAAACAAAAACATATCTATGAAGCAATGTAATCATGATTTGTGTGTGGCGGGCGAGAAGGCATACATCATCCCATGTCCAAAACCGCTCTGTGTGGCTGATGCCAGACTCTCTGTAGTATTCTTCCAAAGGAGGTTCTAGTAGGATGACATCGAATTTACATTTCAAATCTTGCAGATCAAAGTTCTCTGGGTCAGCTTGGAGGTACCTGTCAAAAACACACACACACACACACACACATAAACACACACTATAGAAGAGTCAAAGATGCAAATAGTTCTACAACGAGTAAAACAAGAATACATTGGTGGAGTGTTGGTACTCGAAATGAGCTCATCTTTAAGTCGAATCAACTCTCGCAGCTTTGGATACTCTTCAAATCGATCTGCCAGGCCTGCAACAAACAACATTTTGTATCACGCATAAATAATGCAATATATTTCGGAAAGTGAACTCACCTACATCCCTGATAAAGTTTTGTGGCCTATGTCCCGTGTCCACAAAGTGCTGACAATAGTCATTATGAGGGTTTAGACTTTGTGTTCCCTAGAAAGAGAGAAAAAAAGATATATACATATGTAAGTGACACACAGCACGCTCTTTTAATCAGTGTCCATTAACTTTCCTTTAATCGTATGTGGAATTTTACAAAGTACACTTCAATCACATGGATTCTGTTGTAAAATCATGTCTCCAAACCTTAAGAAAAGTGCTTGAATCCTTGTACACCTCCTCATATGGGTTGCTCTCATCAGGCTGCGGTATCTCAATTTCTTCCTAAACAAGTCAAGAAAGATTTACGTTTATTCATTTAATGTTTACTTGGTGGCATATTAATGAACACATCTCCAGATTGTCTCACAGTCCAAGCACACAATCATTTACCCTGAACTATTGTACAGTGGAACCGGAAACCAACGCAACTGGATGAAACCTACAGGCACGGGGAGAACATGCATATACTTTTCATGTGGAACCCAGCACTTTCATGCTGTGAAACAAAAGTGATAACCGCTGCGCCACTCTGCCGCATAACAATTACATATCAATATAAAATCTATGAAATACACATGTCTATGTTGAAACCATTTAAAATTGTAAGTCTCTGGTCTATTTTTAAAAACAACACAATTCACATAGGTAAACCCACTTTTTGTTCTTCCGCATCTTCCTCAGTCTCTTCACCCTCAGTGAGTGTCTTTCTTTTTGATGACAAGATTGAAGTGTCAAATGAAGCTCTGGAAATATAAATGGTTCTTGACACAAATGAAGATGAATATTACATTTTTTAAAAAACAGACCACGTTACATGTTGCCACAGAAATATCTAACTTAATACCCCATAATAGTAACATAAGCCATACTCAATGTATGCAATGTGCAGTCATATAGCTTTTTCTACTATGTATTTTGTGATATACATAGAAAAAGCCAACAGTAAGTGGTTTTTAGTAAGTAATATAGCAATTATAGTATCAATATAGCAAACAATGTAGCACGGGTATGTATACTGTACTGTATCTAATGATCTTAATAAAGCTTTTGCAGATTTGAATCTATGAGAGATGCAAGTTACACTTAAAGGCATTGCAACAGCTCCTCGGTCCAAAGATACAGGGATTCAACTTATGAAAGTGTTCCTAACAGAACTCCACCTGCATGTTTCTCTCGTTTCCTCTATCTCCTTTTGTTCCTCTTTGCTATTTAGGACCGCTCCGATTGAGTCCGCACTTTTAGCACCAAGCTGTGAAAATACAATTGTGCTGTTACATAAAACAGGGTTCCTAACTCGAACACGCAATGTTAAAAAGTACTGGAAGAGGGATGATTAAAGCATGGCATGCACTTGCCTGCTGAGCTAAAAGAGACCGTCTACGTTTCTGCTTTTCACGAATTTCTTGTAGTCGACTGTTCATATCTGCGTTTCCTAGATAAAACGTTGGACACACGTTTAATTCGTCGCACAATGATCCAAAGAGTGTTTTACGATTTGCTTTTGCATGTGGAGGACAGATGCGGGGGAAACAAAGCTGCAGTCGCCCCGGTTGTGTGTTTGTTATGAGCGCGGGGACGTCCAGAATGGGCGGGGCTACACAAGAAGCACGAGGTTGTTCCATAGACTGTATATATGTTCTCGGGCCATGGATACGCCGCGTTATTTATGAAGCGCCACCAATACAACGTTTGGGCGCTTTCAAATGACGTAGATGTCTCCGTTCATCTTAAACGCTAAAGAAATTCAAGACATTTCATTGTACGAAACAACACTATCTTTGAAAACCTGGAGGTCTGCAATTTTCATTGAACAAGGCATTTCCGTATCCAAACTTCCTGTTAATTTGTCCAATTTCTCTAAACAAGCAAGGACACTTTGTTATAAGCACAACTACTCTCCACACAAAAGTATAATTTTGATTAATCATTACCTCTTCCGCCGTGGTTCTAAAAAGTTATATTTTTCTCAAAGATTTTGTGGATAACAATGAAGATAAAATTAAACATGTTTTTGTTATTGCATACATTCAAAATCACAGGTCATATTGCCAATAATGCAACAACAAAATATTCAGAGCCTTGTTTTAATATTCTAAAATAACACTAGAAGTTAAACATATTGTCACCTTTTTTAAACATGCTAATCCAAAAATGCAAAAAAATAAAATAAAATGTGTTTATTCTCCAAGGAAAATATCACATTCGTAAGACAAAACGTTCACAATTCAAACCTTGCTTCATAGTTCTACTTTTGACAATAAGGAATTATAAGAATTTAATCAAAAGACTAACCCCCCAAAAACCGTTGGGTATTATGTTAAAAAGTTCACATATTTCTTATATTTGAAGTAGCAATATGTAAGATTTCCATATCAAGACATCATTAAATGGCCCTAATATGTCAATGGGCATTAATAAACCATGTTATTTTTGAATACTTCTTAAATTGATAACAGTATTTCAGCCGAGATATTCTAATTTCAAAATTAGTTTTACAGCCTCCTTGTTATTTTTTTCATTTCAATGTCCCGCTTTCCACCGTTTACCAATCCGAAAGTCTGTGATCCGGGTCGCCAGAGCTCACTGTGTCGAGCTAATCTCACTGGTAAAGTACATGTGAAAGGTCTTGTTATGATTCTCAAATCATTAATGACAAAACAAGGATTTCTTTCGGGGTCTTTGCAAAAAAGGTGTTGGTTATAGATTTTTTGTTGACAAAACTCTTGTCTTCAACTATAACTATATCGTCTGCATATCTGGCCACCTGAGTCAGGGAGAGTACAGTGCCACTTTTGGCCAGATTTTTACATACTGCTCCTTTAAGCTATCCTAAACGAAAAATAGATGATTTAACTATACAATAACCTTGACATAATTCTAATTTAACATCAAAGCATTCTGTACACTCAAAGATGCTTTACCAAGCACTTGACACAGTCATAAACGAAGTGAGGGGGTTGGAGTTGGAAGAACCAAGGTGACAGTGGGACGCAGGTGCCCGAGGTCAACAATTAATCACTGTTTATTTCATAACATGTACAATCACAACTTCAGAGAACAAAACAGCCGAAACTACGTACATTTTCCAAAAAGGGGTTGGACGAAATTATCACACAAATAAACACAATATCATATCTGGTAGAAGACAAGACAACATACACACTCCGCACATTCTCACTCTATCTCGCTCGCTTGCTCTCCCTCTCTCACACACACACACACGCACACACATGCACACATACTAAGAGAAGACACAGGTCCAAATACTCTCTGACCTTACATCTTTCTTCCATGCATGTGCTGAAGGTATCACTCTCTCAATGTACTTCTTCACTACTTATTTTTAGACCGTTTATCTTTTCAAACTAGTCGCGATTGAAAATTTTTTTAAATCATGTGTTAATCCATTTCAAAGAGTTGCTCCGCCCACTGAGATTGATTTTAAAGTAGTTCTCTGAAGGTTTTCTCCACTTACAATACAATAAAATATCAATATTGATGTTCGGTAAATGACTTTATCTTTTCATATTTCTAGCACACTTATCACATTTTGTGCTCAGGCAACTAATGAAAGTCTTCCAAAAGATCTTTTCATTCTACAACTCCCAAATAAGTGGGTCAAAGTTTTTCTACTGAGGTATCATCAATAACTACAGGACAGATTTTTATTTTGCTTAAACGCCTCAACCAGCGTTTTTACTTTTTTGCAAACACTATGAGATATATATATATGTTATTTTTTCAGGATTTGTGAATGTAATATCTGTTGATAGTCAAACAATCAACTAAATAAATCCAAAATCCAATCACAAAATCCTAACGTTAACTTTTGAGTCAGGTTTACAATGATAAAAAGTATTATACTATGGGATTCATTTGATAATATTTTGAGTAAATTATTATAATTTTAATAAGTTATTCTCTTAATAATATGAGAATAAACTTAGCCCGAGGCAGATCTTGTTTTGATGAAGGGTGAACGGAGCAGCCTCCGTGGAGAACAGAGAACAGCACTGGGATGTTTTATGCACAGACTTTGACAGACTGTTGCCAATAGGACTATGTAGATCAAGGTCTACAGATAAAACAACAATGAATCTGTTGTTTTATATTGCATTTCTCTGATTTGCATACACGCTCTGTTTCAATCTGTTTTGTTATGTCTGTCAGACAGCCTCCACAAAAGCACAAATGAGAGCTCTATTAAGCAGAGCGCTTCCATCTGTAACAGAAACATCAAAGCAGAACACACACTATTTTCCCTTGTTCAGACATATTTATTTCTGAGCAGACTTACACATGCATGTACGTGCTGGACCTCGAGTTAGGCACAAGTCCACAAAGTGCTGGGTTACTGTAAAACATTTTCACAATAATCCCATATGGTTGGAGCAACGTTTAGAATGCAGCGGACTAAAGGGAGCGGATCGAATAACCCTGGACCAACAACAAATTCATCTGGACTTTTTGCATAAAGGGTAAACACCCTAGACTGGTTCAATATGAAATATAAGCCAAACCAACCCACGCACAATCTGATACCATTAAATAACAGTCCAGGATCACTGTTACTAGTTGATCCTGGACTCATAACCCTAAAAGCGACCATATTTTATTGACATGGCCAGTTTTTAATTGCCCACAGCAGTTCCAAGTACAGGGAATGAACAAATGTGTTATCTTTGTTTGAATAATGTATTTCACATGTGTTGTTTGTTGTTAGTTTGTTATATTAAATATCAAAATAAAATATAACTTATATATAAAAACCAATATCAATATCTTTTCAGGTTACTGCTGCACTTACAGAACAATTAAGGCTGCTCTAACGTGCTGTTTACACGGAGATGCTGCGACAGTAAAACAATAGAGTTTGGCATCGGATTGGTCTTTCATTTCCACAAAGACGAGACGGTGTTTCAGGGGGGTCAAAACGCTAGCGTTGAGCAAAATGTTTTCCTGCTACTGTTAAATGCAGATTTATGTCGGTACAGTCTTTCACGTCTTTGCAGTGGCCTGAGGAGGATCCTGTTAAGGAAGTGATTATACTGGTGGGGGTTGCATGTATCGTGTTGTAAAATTCTACTGCTCCCTACTTTTAGAAACTTTTCTGCCTTTGAACATAGACGCTAAGAACTTAAAATACGGGGCCTTATAATTTTTTAAAATGGCTTTGCAGCGTCTCCGCAGTGTCTCGTCTAAACTGGGCCTAATAGTGATGGGGCCTGTTGCCTAAATTTCAGTGTCCTACTCCACCTTTTTTTCTTATTTGTAAAACGTAAAAAGCATTACAGTCCCTCCCAGCGGGTGTTAGATTTAACACTGCCCAACAAAGTATTGCTCAACACGTCATTCCTGTAATCACAGTGGGTTCATGCTATCCCGGGAGATGTACACTAGAGTATTTCTTTGCGATCCAGTAGGGTCTAAGGACAGTGGTGATGATCCAGGACACTTGACGTTCAACAATATTTATCAAAATCTTTGGACATTTCTGCCTACTATGGACCAATGGCTCTATCCATGGTTTTCCAATGACATCACGCACTACCCACAATTCCTCAGTTCGCCATTTTAAAAGTCGAGCCGCCGCTAGTTGTAGGTAAACAAAGCGCTCCAATCATTTTTTTGAGCTAAAACATGCTGACTGCCTGCATCGTTTGGGGGTGCAGTAACCGCGCAGATTGTGGGAACATTCCGAGGGCTATTGCGAGCCAGGGGAGCGACTCTCGACTGAGAAAAGAACACTTTTCTTGGCAGGATCAACCGAGAGGGTTTCAACCCTAACCCCTGAAAAACGGCACTGTGTGGTTTATATTCAAAGCTGCGATTTGACTGTCATACTAAGTCTATATAGGCTTAGTGATTTACGGCCTGTGATATCAACTGCTTCGTTCAAAATAAATTATTAATTGAAAGAAATATGGCATCATATACATCATGACCTTTTTTTAATTGTAAAACTGTTAAGTGAATGTAAGCCATTTCGGGCCAAGTCCACTGGTCTCGCTGCGTTTCATATGGATCCATATCTCCGATCATTCTCAATTTCTCTAAGGATCTTGCCTCACAGATTGCTCCAGTGTATCAATATACGTATATAATATATAGTGTCGGCCCAATTCGTGGCTTTAGATGACATGGGGACAAATGATCCGTGACAAATTATCCATCACAAATGATACGTGCAATATAAGCTTGACACGCAAAATGGCGTTCGCGCAAAGCATCATGGATAAGCATGTGATGGAAAACCATGTATGTGTTTGTTTATCATTGCATTTCTTGTGTTTGAACTGTTTGATTCTCTGATCTGTGTTGGTGAATTCAACGGTTTTGTAAAGTCCTCCGACATAACTACTCATGTGATTTAGGGCAATACAAGAAAAAAATTGAATTGAATTAATACTTCAGTTTACACAAACATCTTCAAATATTAGGAAATTATATTGTGCTTTTGTTCCTATTATGTCCTTGTAATATGCATATCTTTAGCCTTGATCAATTCTAATGTATTCATAATTTTATTTAATGAAACAGAACAAGGTCTGCCCACCCATTTGTCTGCCCACAATCTACCGTAGAATAGAACCGGGCCTGCCGCTACATCACTTGTTCATAGCCACAGTAGACTAAGTGAAGTTATTAACCTGCTGTTGGGTCTATATAGAGCAGACACTATGAGGTTTGCCGTTAGTGACAGCAGCTGAGCCAAGACAGAGTTTCATTGATCCCGTCTCAGCTCTTTTCCCACGCAGGGACTGCAGCCTGCAGGGTCGTGCCGATGGGAAGCGGTGCGTTGTTGCGTGAATGGAGAGTGGTGCCGCAGCTCGCTAATATGAATTTGAGTTTTTGGGCTTCAACAGTGACCTTCTTGCTTGTAAACAGCGCAACTTGCTTGTGCAGCGGAATGCCCCCCTTTATCCCTCAGCCTTTTACACTGTGCGCTCAGAGTCGCGGGAGAGACGCTCTCTATCGGGGCGCCATAGACGTTACGGAGTCTGGAGCGCGGTGCATGAACTGGACCGAGATAACTGGCTTTATGGAGCGCCACCCGGAGAAGGGCTTAGGAGAGCATAATTATTGTCGAAATCCAGATGGCAGGATCCGGCCATGGTGCTTTTTCAGGAACAACAAAGGCAGAGTGGACTGGGGTTTCTGCGACTGTAAACAAGGTTTGGCCACCATGCAATATTCTTGCCATCTCACGAGTCTTTTTCCCTTCTGGAGCTGATAAAGCTTTGTCACTGATTTCAGACCAGGTTTTATAAAGTTTAACGTAAGCCTACTCAATAGCTCGGTGTGACGTGAACTGCACGTCACGTTTGTGGGCAATATAGTACTGTTATGACGTAATACTTCTTAGTAGTATCAGTGTTACTGTTGTTATAAAATTTTATCTGACTCCATTCCAGGTTCTGTGCGTCTACACGGAGGCTCTAAACTGGATGGCCGAGTGGAAATATATATTTCTGGTGTGTGGGGTGCCATTTGCATACATGAATGGGGGCAAGAAGACGCTTCAGTGGTCTGCAGACAGCTGGGTAAAGGGTAAGATAGCATGTGGTGAATGTTTTTCTTCTGATCAAAATAACATAATTTATCCATCTGTCTGGTAAATGATATTATTACTGCATGCATGTATTGAGGCACATCAAAGTTGTTTGAACATGGTTGTTCATGCATGTATACTCAAACAATTGGGAATATATGTTTATAGTCTTTCAGGTGTTCCGTATGCAGTTCCCTTGTCCGGTGTCATGATCAAAACCCATTACAAATCGGTCCATTGCCAAGGAGATGAGACAGACCTTCTTCAGTGTACCAGAACTCACTGGAATGGAGAAGAGTGCACAATGGCTGCAGGAGTTACATGCACTAAAAAGAAAGGTAGTGTGTGTGTGTGTGTGTGTCTGTCTATATATGTAAAATAATATGTAATTTCTTTTAGAACAAGTCACACTTCCGGTGCGATTAGTTGGTGGCCTTTCAGCATCAGAAGGCACAGTTGAGGTTTTCTATGCTGGACTGTGGGGGTCTATCTGCGACGACCAATGGGATGATAGCGATGCAGAGGTGGTGTGCCGACAACTTGGGCTGAGGTGAAATACAACTGCATGCTATAAGATGTTCTTAAATTACAAATGAACAGGCCTCTATTTTTTAGATTTAAATGGAAGTTTATTCATGCATATGATGAAGTGAGCAATAAATAATGACTGTGTGTGGGGGTGTCAAGCTTTCCTCTGTCTCTACAAATATGACAAGTATTCTCTCCATTTGGACACAGAGTGAACAGGGCAAGCCATAAAGGACATCTGGGAGTTAGTCACTGAATCAGTTTCTTTGTTTGGGGTTTAAAGCTATAGAAATATGTGTTTACAGCTATATAGTTGTGCATTCGTATGTATTGTAACTGCATTGAATTCAAGAATATGCTACCATTTTGATTTAGAGAGGAAACACCATGAATTACATAGTGAGGGTCTAATGATAATGATTATACTTTTTTTGTTTATACCCTAATTTCTAATCTTCTTTTTTTGCAGTGGGGTTGCCAGAGCATGGAGCCAGGCACATTTTGGCAAAGGTTCAGGCCCTGTGTGGTTAGATGAGGTTCAATGTACTGGTAATGAGTTGACGCTGGAACAGTGTCCAAAAAGCTCCTGGGGAGAACATAACTGTGTGCACTTAGAGGATGCTGGTGTCTCTTGTGCACTTCTTGCAGGTGAGAAATATTATCCCACTGTGTATTGCTTGCCGACACTATTTTTGAGAAATGTGTTTGTTATAAATTGTAAAAAGAAATATAACACATTTTAAACAGAAATATATATGGGAATTCTGTTCTGACAACATGCCCAATTTTACATAAATAAGTAATCTTTATAGTCGGGATTGTGTGCACATGGCATCGTTTAGAAAAAAAAAATCTGTCTACACAAATCGACATAAATACACCATGCTGCCATAGCAACGCACATATGCCATACGGGTGTTAGATTAGTAGGCGATTTCAATGTATCAATTCATTATTTGTGGATATTGCTGGTTTATTTAAACAGATGGTCGACATTTATTAAATAGTAACAGTAAAGTATTTGCATTTATATGTTAAGCTCATGCACATGGAGAATTATTTAATTATTTTCATTTAAACAGGAAAGTCCCACTTACATTTCAGAATCTCTTTTTCAGGGAAGGCCATGCCCCAGACAGAAAGGTCGGGGAGGGTGTTACGGGGGACTTTTGTAAATGTTAACAGTGATAGGGGAAACCGGAGCAGACAGGGTGAACATACAAACTCCACACAGAAAGTTCTGAAGGCGGTTTTGAACCCAGAACCTTCTTGCTGTGAAGAAAGTGATAACAAATGCACTTCCGGGCTGGACAGAGAAGTTGTGAAAATAAAATAAAAGCAATCAACTCTATAACAGGCTGCGATATAACTACAGAAAGATGTGAGCAGACCGGGACAGTGCAGAAGTCTGTTCTTGTTTGGGGATGAGGGCGGGGAGTGGGAGTTATGGGGAATCTTCGGCCTATAGCAGTGCGCGTGAAGCAGTGTGCATCTGTCCTAAATCCTAAACAGTGCACATTTTAGGTAATTTATACATTCATTTTCACATTTATAAATGCCTCTAAATTTTGAATATTGGCCTTTTAGGTTGCACTAATATACATACATTAGCAATAAAAATGAGTTTACACATTTCTATTTATATAGGCCAATTTATTTAGCGTACTGTAATAGTCAAGCTTGTCAAGATTTTTTTTTTAACAAATAGAGGAAATTGTGTTATGGTCATCAGCCTTCACACAATAGACGATATAGGTTTATATAAGGAGGGGATTAGAAATGTGATGGCTCCCCTGCCTGGCTTGATATTTGATCACCATAGCAACAATAAACATTGCTGTCTCCAGTTTTTGCTGGAGTTTTATCAAATCTATGTTTTCAGAAGCAAATTCTTTGTTCATGTGTGAACACTAAGACTTTTTTCTACGTTTGCACTCAGTTTTTAAAAGTACCCGGGGTACGTGTGAACAAGGCCCAAGGAGACAAAAAACAAATTAATTTTCAAAATTGATATTGATACTTGGCAAATGCATATCAATAATTGAATCGCGGGAGAAAGTATCGTCACACCCCTAGTCCCAACAGTGTTCATGAATCAATGGCTCGCCAGCCATGATAAAGTACATGTGCTGTCTGTGAGGACATCGTTCCTGCAGTAGAACTGATGCCTACCACAGCTCTGCAGGCTGCGACCCCCAGCACCCAGTATTTGATGCAGATGTTAGGGTCACTTGCACAGGGACAGAGGCTAATGGTGTTTGCAGCAGTGCACACCTCATGAGGTGAAGTTTAAATAATGTTTTGATAAACGGCTTGAGTGAATCCATCCATTTATTAAACATCAGAAGGAGTACTGATAAAATGAAAGTGATTCTGGACTTCATTTGTTTCTTTCATAACCAAAGGAGCTTCACCAAAGAGACATGGATCTCCTATCTGCTCCTGGCCTCCAGTTTCCTATGCAAACAGAGCTTAGAAAGCAAGGAATAGTAAGGTATTAGTAATAGTACACCTTTCCTGTGGTTAAGAAAAGACATTTCCTGGACACATTTAATATTTTCGGAAAGAGGTGCAATTTAGTGTTGCAATTGTAACACTAAAATCTCAGATAGAACCAAATGTTTATGCTCTCAAAATCTTCTAAAGTTGTTTGGCAATAAACAGCCCAAGAACACTAATATACCATTCTATATCGTCAATAACTACATTTTGACAAAAGTGTGTGTTTTCTTTTCAGACGGTACTATTCGCTTGGTTGGTGGTGCTGGAGGTTATGAGGGGCAATTAGAAGTGTTCTTCCATGGCCAATGGGGAACAGTGAGCAATGGCGGATGGACAGACTCTAACACAAATGTAGTATGTCGACAGCTTGGTTACAGGTCCTTTAAGTTACAATGAATATGAGAAATAGTCAACATTATGGTTGAATATTTGTTATTTACCAATGTCTCTATGTTTTACAGGTTTGGAATGACAGTCATTTCTCAAGGGGTTGACACAAATACTGTCCCACGTTTTGGGTCTGGGTCTGGTCCCATTCTCTTTGACAACGTGAGCTGTTCTGGAAAAGAGCCCAGTTTGATCCTGTGCAACAAACAGGAGTGTTTACATCATGACTGCTCTCACTATGGAGCTGTCCGCATTTCCTGCAACCCAGAGCGTCATGGTGAAATGTCAAGTAAGATACATGTCTATTTATCAATAATATTATGTAGGGCGACAGTAGCTCAGTTGGTAGAGCATTGGCCTAAAGGCCAGAAGGTCGTGGGTTCAATTCCCACCTCTGCACCTTCTCCATCGACTCCCACTGATGACTGCTGTCATTGTGTCCTTGGGCAAGACACTTAACCCCACTTTGCCCAAAGCCCCCACTGAAAGATCAAGGCTATGTTCACACTCAGAGAGAAGCCGTCCTCCTGTGGACTCACCACCTGCAGAGGGTCAGTGAGGGGCTGGTGCTATGAGACTTGGGTGGCATCTCTGACTGCCACCCCCCTGACCCAGAAATGGATTAAAGGGTAGAAAATGGATGGATGGATTATGGCTTGCGCAACACTTACTGAAGTTACTCTGAAGACACAGTTTTTTAATATTAGACTTTCACCCACATTCATTTATTTGTTTTTTCCAAACTATTGCACACACACAGTATAATAGCACACTCCTTGGGAAGCAGTGAAAAGAGGCATTTCAGGTTCTGTCATGTGAAACATCAGGTGATTAACCTAAGCATGCACTGACTGAGTGTCTAGTTTTTTGAGAGTGAGTGTAAAGTAAGTTGTTATTTCTGAGCAGAGATTTCAAAGCAATGCATGTGTGTGTGTGTGTGTGTGTGTGTGCGTGTGCGTGTGTGCGTACGTGCCAATATTTTCAGAAATGCCAATCAGGCTGGTGGGAGGGGAAAGGCCAGGGGAAGGCCGTGTGGAGGTGTACCTGTCAGGCCAGTGGGGAACAGTGTGTGATGACGGATGGAGTGATGATGACGCTGAAGTTGTGTGTCGTCAGTTGGGCTTCAGGTACAATTCATCACTTAAACGTAAATTCATGCAAATAAAGCCAGGCAGACAGAAAGACAGACAGAAAGACTGTAATATTCCCATATGCACAGTAAACAGTACATTTGTAAAAGGCCATGTAATTGAGTTCTTTTCTCACTAGTTTTAGTTCAATTTTTTCACAATATTATTTCATTACACTTCTGAATTGTAAATCTGTTATTGAACTGTACAACTTGAGAAGGCGCCTGGAGAACAGAAGGGAGAGACAAACAAGGACCTTTTCAAACTACTCAAACTAACATGATTTATCATAGAGAGTTTCGACTCTGTTGTATGTTATCATCTGTGACTGTCTTATATTTTGTGTTTTTGTTTTGTGTTAACAGCCCATTAGAGACAGAGAGAGCCTGTCATGAGTCGTACAGTCGTACAGATGATTCATTAATTTAAAGTAACCTTTAAAACCCCATACACACTCATTTAGTTTTAATTTGACCATTCCCTCCAGAGAAGTCTAGCTTTATATAATTATTTATTCCAAGGGGCGACAGTGGCTCAGTTGGTAGAGCATTGGCCTCTGAACCTGAAGGTCCTGGGTTCGAGCCCACCATGAGACCTACTTCATGACTCCCACTGATGTCTGCTGTCGTTGTGTCCTTGGGCAAGACACTTAACCCCACTTTGCCTGAAGTCCCCACAGAAAGATCAAAACTCCTGTTGACTCAGCACCTGCTGGAGGATCAGTGAGGGGCTGGTGCTCTGTGTACTGGGTGCAGCTCTGACTGCCATCGCCCCGACTCAGAAATGGATTAAGGGGAAGAAAAAGGATGGGTGGATATATCATCCCCTATTTTTGGCTATTAAAAATGATAATGAGTAAGTATGTATTGCTTTCAGCCCACCCAATTCCTATGCTACTACCAGATGGAAGGGGTAGAATATATGTGTGTTTTTATTTTTTATTTTTTTTAAATTACTGGCTGCAAACATACCTGCGGTTGTAAAGAATGTGGGTAATGTAGGGAAATTACCAAAGCAATTTAGGGGCAATGCTGATGATTTGTAAGGTAGTGAACTAGTATCAGATGTTCCTGACAATAGCGTGGACGAACTGATGTTAAACCAAATGTCTAATACCTCATCTGATTCCAAAATCTAAACAATTATATGCACTCACTCTTATGTCACTCTCCAACAAGTATATTTATATACGCAGGGACATCTGTGAGTCATTGTCAGCCACATCTGGAGTGCATGAGCAAAAGGTGTCTAAAGATTATTAGTCACTTTGGGTGTGGTGTAAAGTCACTATAGACAGAACGCTTCAAAAGGTGATAAGGTTAGAGAGGTGTGGGCAGTGCTGGAAACAAAGAAAACTTGCATTGGTGTTGAATATATTAGCATTTATCTCTATCTTTGAAAAGAGCCACAGATATACACATACATACAACATGATGGATTCTACTATAAATGTTATGACAGAACTTGTTTCCCCCCACTGGTTTGTCTCAAAGTCTAAAGATGTCCAACACATTTAGACTCTTAAACTTTTGGATCCTGTTGGTTCTCATTCTACCCCTGTGTTTATTTACAAGTGGAGTTGCAAAGGCCCGTGTAATGGCTTACTTTGGTGAAGGAACCGGCCCCATCCATGTGGACAATGTGAAGTGCAGTGGAGAGGAGCGCTCATTGGCCGACTGCATCAAACAGACCCCAGGCACACATGACTGTCGCCACAACGAGGATGCAGGCGTCATTTGCAACTATAGGACCCCAAAAGAGCAAAAAGGTCAGAAGTAAAAACCATGTGGGGCTATCACTATTGCAGGTGTATAATGATGTTGTTTTTGTTTAGTTTTTAGATGACCTAGACATAGACATAGACCTCTTTAAACATATTATGACAGGACTCACATGACATGTAAAGAGAGGGATTTCTTTGCGTGCATGTTAGGTTGGCAGTGTACTGAGGTTCATTGTTTAATGTACAGTCTGCCAGCAACAGGGAAGAAAGACTTGTCGAACCTCTCCTTCACACAGCGAGGGTGAATAAGTCTGTCACTGAAGCTCCAGAGCAGAGAGAGTGTCCTGCAGGGGGTGACAGTCATGGTCCAGCATAGATGTTAGTTTGTCCAGGACCCTCCTGTCCCCCACCTGCTGCACTGTGTCCAGGGAACAGCCCTGGATGGAGCAGGACTTCCTGATGACTTTATCCAGTTTCTCCAAAGTATTGCAAATAAGATATGAATTAATTTTCACACTAGTAACAAATCTAACATTACCGTTTACTGTGCAAAAATAGAATTTAGAGATCTGTTGTGGAAATTCTGCAGTGACCAAGAGCAAAAATAATGTAAACAACCAAGAGCTATAAAACAACCAAAATGTGAGTTTATTCATTAGTAAATGTGCACATTTGACATACAATGAATAACAGAACCGATACCAATACCACCGGGCAGCCATCTGAAATCGTCTGCCACGAATGAGGAAATGATGAACATTAAATAGACCAGAGTAAACAAACACATAGATATCACATAGATCAACATTGTTATGTGTTGCTCAAGGCTTCTCTTTACGATTTCTTACGCTGATATAACGCTGATACTGTACTTGTAATAACCTGATTTGGCCTGAACATACTGTATTGTTCTATGACCCAGATGAGGTCGAAGACATGATGCAGCACGTCTCCATCTATTAGCTGACCTGGATGACAACTGAATCCAGAGTTGACTATTAGTTAATAACTTACACTCAACTATTTGGTGTTAATTCAGATTGTTTTACTAAAAGATTTCTATAACAGATCCTTTATTGGTTCCACACTGGTGAGTTTCCTTGTGTCAAAATCAGGTTTGAAATGTGTTTTGTAATTCATACTTCAATCTGTAGATTAGGACACACCAAAACTTGGTTTCTTCACCATGCACACTATGCTCTGTGTGACTGTTTCCAATTATGAGCATTTGAGTCTCAAGTCGTTACGGAGCAAAAGATGATACATTTTCAGAAGTGTTTTTTTTTCTTTGTGTATAAAACCCTTCCAAATTACTGAGAAATGAATGAGAAACCAAACTCTAAGTGACAGATTGGAGGGTCAATTTTGAGCAGTGTGTATACCGCATGTCCAGATGGTAAAATGAACAAAGATATTATGTTATTACCTCACCCTGTCTGTCACACACCGGAGCAGGCATGTGTTTTTGTGCTACGCCGACTCATATTTCCACACATGACACTACGTCAAGGCAAAGCACAGGGATATTCTGTTTCTTTAGCCTAAGTCTCATAAAGCATGTGAACAAGTAGGCCTTCTTGATACCTTTTCTTGAAGACAATGTTTATGATGGATTCAATTTTGTATGCATTAAATGTATGGTATAACAATTGTCCCACTCTTTCTGTCTCGGTCAGATCCGGTCAGCTCAATTTGCGGCCTGAAACTCATACATAAACGCCAACGTCGAATTATTGGAGGAGAAAACTCTTTGAGGTAAGCCATGAGAGTTGTAACATATTGTGATGACCTGTCTGGGCCATATCAAAAAAGACATTAATGCCATAAAACGTGTTAGGATGTGTATATGAAGACTTACTCACAGAATGAGAAGCAGGAAATGTTTTTTTTTTTTTTTCTGCATAGAGTCTTGCCACAGCTTTCTTAGAACCTGGTGAGTGTATAATCAGTTATAGAGCCAAGCCGGAAATGTTTATGTGTGTTATATTGTCTCAGTCTCGGTTCATCTGGGGGCTGCACAAGGTTGATTCTGGGTCAAAAATTATGAACATTGGAGAAAACAGATTGATGATGCACATGCAGATCATTTAAGTACTCACGCAATTTAGAATCTGGATTAGTCAATATATGTTTCAGACTGTTCCATCATTTTTCTTGGCCTCCGTCATATATTTACATCAGATTTTTCAGAGAATAAAAGAAGACCAGACTTGACTCTGCCAATCAGCTCTCAGTATGTAAATCCAATCAAGACAGCATGTTGCGGTTTGGTTTAAACAAGATTCCTTCTGCCTGGACAAACAACATGGATTTATGACATTATAAAGTTAGATACACAAGCTTAAATGGATTCTCTATTGCTGGCTATGTTTCTCTAAATTGTAGGGGAGGCTGGCCATGGCAAGCTGCATTACGTTTACGAGGATCCCGTGGCGATGGTCGCTTGGTTTGTGGAGCAACTCTAATTGATACATGCTGGGTTCTCACATCTGCACACTGCTTCAAAAGGTGGCACACACACCAGTCTATAACTGAACCCTATAACATATATACTAGTGCTGTCCAAAATATCGCGTTATAAACGCGTTAACGCAAATCAATATTAACGACGTCATTTTTTTTAATCGCGCGACAAAGAAAAGGACTAGTTCAGATACATTGTAGACAGAGATTACAAACAATATGTAGTTGGAGATACAGGGGGCCAAAGAAGAAACCCAGAAGGGCACATAGGAGAAGTGAACACGCTCATCTTTTCGTGAACATTGAACTGAACGCAACACATTTTTAAAAAAAGAACTTGAACGTGAATTAGTTCATTTTATGTGTCATGAACGGCAGACATCACTATGAACGTTGGAATCTGTTTTCTCTTTTAAAACGCAACGAGAGAAAGTTCCTCCCTCCTGTATTCTCGCACTTTTTCCACCGAAATCTCAAAATTCCTACGGTTTCCACCGTCTGTGAACGCACCCAGACTCTGTGTTGAGGTGCGGCGCTGTGAGCTGGTGCTTTTCACATGTGCCCGAGTCGTGATGAAAACACAGGGTGAGTTAGCGACAAAGTTTACACCGTTTACATTTGACATAAAGTATAGACACACGCACTGCAGCGCATTACTGTCTGTAGTTTATGAGCAGAGATGGAGCAACTCCGTCTTCATGGTTCTCTCTGCGCTTTAAAGGGCCTATATCACGGTTTTTGACTTTTCTCTGCTTTAAACATGATTACAGTGCTATTTGGCCTTCATACACAAGCCCACAGTTGTTTATTCATTGATTCTGTCAATCTTTTGTAAGAGAACAATCTGTCTCCTTCCCCAGCGTGAGGCACAGAAACGCTCGGGTCCACTTCAGTGACCAAAACCACACTGATGACGCGCATGACCCCGTTTGCTTTGTATTTAAAATAGTTGTTAAATACTTTTGTCAAAACGGGGTAAACAATACACAATTAGTATGCTGTTTTTTGTCAAAAATAATAAAATAAAAATAAATTAAAAGCCGTTGGGAGGTGATTGACGGATCAAAACAGCAAATCAGAGCGCACAGGCTCCGGCTCCCGAGTCCAGCGTCTGTGGTCTGGTCTCCGGACACCACATAGAGCTGCTGTTTTTATGCTTTTGTCAGCGACTAAAAGTGTTAGGATCACGTCAACTTGAATGAAGTGTGTTATGGGTGTAAATATGTGACACACTATTTGGCCCTAAGAGGAAGAAAGCGGCTCGACTTTTTTCATCTGTTCATCTCATGGATCTATTATAATACTGGTTCATCTGCAACACTTCACTGAGACTGTTCCAGAACTACAGGGACAATGGAACTGGACTTACTCAAAAGCTGATCTGGAAACACGTTATTCCCACGGTAAAAGACGTAACTCGGACCCCTCGATCTGTAAGTAGTGACACTAACTTGCTGTATACTTCTGTAAACTAAATAACTAGGGTCTGATTGTGCATCGAGGACATAGGGCTCGATGTGACGGATTGTCATTGTTGGAAAAAGTTTATTCTTATGTATGAAATTACTAAGTACAGGTGATAAACGACAAAAGCGTGATGCTACGTCACCGTGCGGGCGGGGGGAGGCGGGCTCACAGGCAGAGGAGCAGACTCTTCTCTGGATCAGCCTGTTTGAGTCGAGGTGACGTCACCTCTATACAAGAGATGGCTCTAATCTCACAAGCTTTGATTGTTGTGTGGTGTATCATACACATTATTATAACACATGTGCAGAGGATTGAGTGTGAAACATGAAGAAAAGCGTGATATAGTATGAGATTTCATAACACTTTGAAGCAACTTTTGTTAAAGTTAAACTCATCATTCTATCAATGTGCAGAAGCCAGTACTTTTCCCTTCTTGTGTCTATCTGAAGGCCAAGCTACAAGCACACCGTGGAAGCTGCTGATTGGAGGTCTCCATGCCTCCGCTCTGTATAATACACTTGCATTCTCTTGTATCTGTGATCGTGTGCTCTGATCGTGCTGTCTCTACCATCGACAATAAAACATGTCTTCTGTCTGAATTAAAGACGCGATCCCAGACTTGGCACATCTTCTTCAATAGGACCTTTAAACAGAACCCTGAGACTATCAAAAAGCAGGTGCATTTATACGGAGACTTGATTACACACAGGTGCATTCTATTTATCATCATCAGTCATTTAGGACAACATTGGATCATTCAAAGATCCTCACTGAACTTCTGGACTGAGTTTGCTGCACTGAAAGTAAAGGGGCCGAATAATATTGCACGCCCCACTTTTCCGTTTTTTATTTGTTAAAAAAGTTTAAATTATCCAATAAATTTCGTTCCACTTCATGATTGTGTCCCACTTGTTGTTGATTCATGACAAAAAATTAAAATTTTATATCTTTATGTTTCAAGCCTGAAATGTGTTGAAATGTTGAAAGGTTCAAGGGGGCCGAATACTTTCGCAAGGCACTGTATATCTATATAGAGTGTATGATCATTATTCATGTTCATAATATACCTAAACTGGAGGATCTGAAATGCAGTGCTGATTGACTGAATTTGTACTTTTTCATCTGTACCCAACCCTTCCTCCTTGTACAAGGAGAGAGAGAATAATATCAACAATTATATAAAAATAAAACACATTTACATAATAAAACAAAACATGTAATTCAATTCCTAATAAATAACCTAATAATAAAAACTCATAGATCATACCCATATACTTCTATATCCTATATCCTATAATGTTTTTGTAATGCTATAGCTCATTTTGAAGCTCAGTGTCAAAAAGCTGACGAAACAATGGAGAAGAAACAATGTATTTGGGGACTGAGATTTTGTGAAGAATACATTATAATGTAATTATAATTTTTTTTTTAAATCCACAAAAAGCATGTGTCTGCATACAGTACATGCCTTTCAAAGAACACAATGTCACAGTACTGAGCTCTTACCTTTGTTCGAAATAACGTAAAAAGGCATTTGAATGCATACAAGTTAGTAAACTATTGCACAACACGACACACACTTCTGTCCGGGAGGTCAGTCCTACATACCGTAATGTAGCAGGGACTTTATGTAATAGACATTAGTATTCCCAAGTCTAATGTTTACAAGAATGTATCATCACACATTACAATAATCAAACTAGCTGCCATGTTGTTTTCGTTCCAGTGTTCACAATTCACATGCCATCTATAGTTATCTTGTGGTTTTACAGCTTTGCACGAAGGGGCCAAGATCAAGTTCTTTCAACAATACTAAAGACCAACTGATGTGATTCATCTTCTTAACAGCCTGTCATTATCAAATGCCTGACATGATCAAATCTGCTTCTAAGATTGTCAGTGTCTAAATTGTTTCCTTCCACAAAGTAAGAGAATGTCTCTTGTTCATTTCGATGGAATTCTTTAAACTATTTTAACCCCAGTCCGTGACGACTGTATTACACCATTTGCTATTGCTTTAAATTACTTTACCATTCCTTTTGATTATGATAATTATGATAACTCATACTTAAACACTGCATTCAGATATGACATGCATTCTCATAAAATGTAAAAAAAAAAAAAAAAACTGATTGTAAAAAAATCTGTTTATACATTAACTGTGATTGTGTCCAACTGTGATTTGGAATCAAGTACCGGTAGTAGTACTGTACTTGTTATTCAATAGAATTATGTTTTCTCTTACTCAAACTTAATTTTAATATTTACATTTTGCTGTTTAGGTATGGAAACAGCACAAATGAGTACAAAGTACGTGTTGGAGATTACCACTCTCTTGTCCCAGAAGAGTTTGAAGAGGAGTATGGTGTAGATCAGATTGTTCTTCACCCAAACTACCACACCACCAGCACAGACTATGACATCGCTCTGGTCCGGCTGTCACCTGGGGCGATGGGCCATGAAGTGGGCGAGTGCGTTTCCTTTAATCACCACGTCCTCCCTGCCTGTCTGCCTCACAGCAAGGAGCGGGTGCTCAAACAGGCCTCCAACTGCCACATCACTGGCTGGGGTGACACAGGTGCGTGGCTCTGGAATGGACACAATCTCGTTCTTATCAGATACTTATCAGATATGTGCCAGCATTGATGCTCTACCTGACTGAATCCACCTCTTAAGACCATCATTAGGATTCTTGGCTCTGAACATTCTGCATTTAGACCAAAACAAGTGCTGATTGTTTTATTCACTCACCAACAGTATGAGCTTGAAATTTCACATCAATCAATTAATCTTTTGCGCTCAAAGTAGTGTCACAGAAATATGATGATAGAGACAAACTATTCGCTGAGAGAAGTCTCTCGGAGCCTGTATCCAGGGCTCTTGTTTGTAGTGGTGGATAAATCCTTTCCCTGCTAAGTCAAACTTGCTAGGGCCTGGGTTCTTGAACCATTTTTTCTTGAGAATAGTATTGTAACTATATCTAACAAATCACCTTCAAGGCAGCTGCCTCGGCCCACTCCTCTTCTCCATTTACACTAACGATTTACCTTATGTACTAAACAAATCTGAAGTTGTCATGTATGCTGACGACTCGACCATGAATTATTCCAATTCAAATGTGAATGAAATATCAGGTGTATTGGAAGATGATTTGGCCGAGGTCCTTAAGTGGGTTAAAAGCAACAACATGATTTTAAATATTTCTCAAACAAGATCAATGCTTTTTGAAAGTAAACAACGTCTAGATGAAAAATGTCAATTGAAGTTGACTATGGAGGGAGCCGAATTAGAACAGGTTGAGCAAATTAAACTTTTAGGTGTTATAATAGCTCACCATCTCTCATGTTCACCGCACATTGACCATTTGATTAGTAAGATGGATAGAGCTATTGGTGTGGTGAGAAGGTGTTCTTATTTTGTAACTACAACAGTTTTGAAACAGGTTGTCCAATCCCTCATTTTATCTAATCTTGAATACTGCTCCATTTTATGGTCTGCTGTATGCAACACAGATATAACTAGTTAACAAGTTGTACAGAACAAGGCTGCAAGACTTTAAATTGCAAGGTTTTAAATTGCTCTTATTTTACCAGTATAACATTTTATCCTGGCCTTTGGTTCACAATAAGTTACAGTATAGCCTTTTAATATTTCTAACTGCTGAACCAATTTCAATGTTTGAAAAAAATCACATATGTACATCAGACTCACTCCCATTCTACTCGGCAGGCTCATAATGCCGACTTGGTCGTCAATCGGGCCAGAACGAAATAATTGAATAAGACTTTTATTTTCCGAGCAGCTCAACTTTGGAATGGGCTGCCGAGGGAGATGAGGGATGAAACTTCTCTGCATATTTTTAAAAGAAAACTCAAATATCAAATGTGCAATGCATCACTGTAATGCATGGCTTTTCATACCTTGTGTTGTTTACTAATGCTGACTTGGCATTTGATCTATGCTTTTAACATGATGGACTGTATTAATGAATGTATTATTTATTTTAAAAAATTACACTTGTTTTAACTGGGACCCCAGGAAGATTAGCAACCACATTGGTGGAAGCTAATGGGGATCCCCAATAAACAATAAACAATAAACCTTAGGAAAATTATGAACCGAGAGAGAATATACTATGGGAATAATGCATTACTCTGTATAAAATAAATAAATAAATGAAAACAAGAAAAAAAGTACAATTCTGATTTTGTTTGCGCAGCAGAGAAGGTCCATTTCAGTAATTGCTGGCATATCAAACCTTTCTATTTGTTTGTTGAGCAGCAGAGTATGTCATGCAAGCACACCCTAATTTCCATTATAAACAAGGTGGAGATTCAGCAGTAGAATAAATAAACTTCTGTTAGGAAAATAAATAATTACTTTGTAGAATAAATATACTGTGGTGTATGTGGTGACTAATCAGCTTGTTTTGGTAGTCTGTTTCTCTGTTTGTTTATTTACATGATTTGTTTAATTTATAATACAATAGTCAAACAAGTGAGGGTTTGTGCGACGTTAATTTGAAAAACTAAATTACTAATACTATTATTACTATTATTATAAATGAAAATGGATCACATGAAATCTCAGTTCTTTCGTTTCCTCCTCTCGAAAATGATCAAACTTGTTGCTCTGTCTAAACTAAATGTTGACACACCACATGAAAGCAAGTTTCTATATCTGTAACTATGTCCCTGTGTTTAAAAGGACATGAACATTATATAAAGCTACTTTTAAGAATTGATACATTTTTCTAAGTTTAATCGAGTGAGTTTTTGGATTGAACGTACTTCATATGTCTGATGAAAGCTGTTGTTGGATTCTGTGTTTGGATGTCTCCATGGGTTTCAGTGTTATCTTGTCTGTTCCAACCCAACCCAGTTCTATTTGTATCCAACAAGACGTCAAAGACCATTCTAAGCTTCAGCCAGACAATATGATAATCACTACACTTGGTGATATGAGTTGTTTAACCTGTCTTTTGCACGTCAAAAGTGTCCTGTTGAGATTCCTGTTCTTGTCCTTGTCCCATGTGTAACTAGTGTCTCAGTATAAGTATATACATGTTTTAACTTTTGTCTCACACCAACCTGCCAGGCAATCTGCGGATGGGAACTAGCCTAATCTGGCACCTTTCTAAATACAGCACTAGTAAAAGTACATAACAGATTTAATGAGGTACGATTTCAGTAAGTAGACAAAAGAAATCTCAACCTTTTTTAACCTTACAGGAAACCAGAATGAATACAAACAAGGAAGATAATGTAACTGGTTATTCTTAGTGTCATTGTTGTCTTTCATATGTATTCTATTAGACGTGTTAAAAGATTTGAAGATGTCAAAGAAGAGAATGTGAAAAATCCAGTTAGTGACGTGGTGAAAAATTCCCCTCAATTACAAAAGACTCGCAGGGAGTTTCACAACAACCGGGGTATTGCGAAGTTAAGACAGGCAAAACACATTCTATAGAGTATACACAGTATGTATTGTATTTCAATTATGTTTTGATATAATAATAATTTTACTCATATGTTTTATACATACTTTAACAGATGTTTTTCTATAGTGATTCTTACAACACTAACAATTCCTTACTGTGACAAATATATAGTGAATGATCATGATAGAGAAATGTCGAGTATTATAGAGGAATTGATAATAATGTAGTGTGTAATGTAGTGTATCACAGAACGGATCTTAACGCACCAGAGCAACCTGAAAGCTTATTCAGTTTCCTTCACTTTTTTTTTCTTCAGTTTTTTGGAAATAAGAACTAAGTTAGGACATGCTCTATATGGACATGTTGCGTCACACATACGTCACACATGATAAGATATGCTTTATTTATCTCACAAAGGAGAAATTTACATGGAAAGACATACGAGTCACATCAAGATACAATCAGAACATTGAAACTTTTAACCTACACAAGGCCAGATCTCTTGTATAGAGACACAGAGACATGTTTTGACTAAGGCAGCTGGATGAAATGGCCCTGAAGAATTATGTCCATTGTCTATCACATCAGAATCAGAATCAATTTTATTGCAGGAAGTGATTTTGCAGGAAGTGATTTTGCTTTATACAAAAGTTATACAAAATAGAATATAATGACAAATACGAATACAGTTCCAATACACTGTATAAGAAACACACAATAGACCTTTTATAGTACACTACTTGATTTTATGATGGGTGTTGTGTTGTGATTTAAGGATATACAAAAATAAATGTAATTGGTCTTTTAGAGCTCTTGATTATAGAGTATTACTGTTGTGAACTATAGAGCTCTTAATAATGGAGTAATTGCAGATCTTGATTATAGTGTAATGTAGTGTAATGCAAATCTTGACAATAGAGTAATGTTGTGTAGTGCAGTTCTAACAGATTGTGTGTTGCTTTTCTCTCCAGGGCGCTCGTACTCTAAGACCTTACAACAGGCCCCACTGGATCTGCTCCCTCGGCAACACTGCCAGCTGCACTTCCACAGCGCCTTTACCAGCCGCATGCTCTGTGCAGGGACCACTCACCCACACAAGCGAGTGGACAGTTGCCGTGGAGACAGTGGGGGCCCGTTGGTGTGTGAGAGACCAGGGGGGGGATGGGTGGTTTATGGGGTCACGTCCTGGGGCCTGGCGTGCAGGACTCAGCGGTCGCCGGGGGTCTACACCAAAGTGTCTGCCTTCAGCTCCTGGATACGGAAGACCATTGGACAGTCGGTTGAGAGAAGTCCATGAATACTTACTGTAAATCTGTTTTATAGCCCGGGCAAATTACCTGTTTTTGAGGTCCAAAAATGTAAAAATACAACAATATAGTGTTTTTTTCTCTCCATGAATCATTTCGACGAGCTGTCCAGAACAACACACTAGATTAGAAATCCTTGATGAACAAATAAGTTTCATTTTAATGTATTCAGCTTGTGAGCCAATATGGTCCAACAGCTACACCTGAATAGGCTTTTTTCCCTTTTCTCCAATCACAATATCACGCTGAAAGTATCCATGAAAAGTTAAATAAATTTTATCGCAAACTCAACACTAACTAAACCGCAAATATTTGTATTTTACATACATCTGAGCAACACAATTTGTTGGGGATATTTGATTAGTGTTGAGCCCATTTGCAGATTCAACTCCATATTTGAAATTCTAAAATCATGATCTACTTTTCATAGATATGTATATTGTTTCATTGATTCATACATTAAATATGGTAGCAATTTTATGTTGAGTGCAAAGGCAAAGTTACAAGAGCACAAAAAAGCATCACAAAAGCCCAAAACAAGTCTGATCTGTTATAAAGTGAATATAGATTTTTTATTATTTTTTCTAACATAGACCATTTTCTTGTGCTTTGTAAATGTTGCTGGTGATGTAACAGCATGTTTTTTTTTGCTCAACAACAGCACTTAAATTATTTGACTGTTTATGTTATGAATTATGTGTATTATTCTTATGTATAATGGTTCATTTTTGTTCTTTACATGAGGGTGAACATGGTTGAAAAAGTAGAATGTCTAAGGTGAGATCATTATGTGTCTTAGTGTCACACACCACAGGCCTGTTCTTATGGGTAATAACATCAACTATGTACTTTACAGCAAAATTATACAGTTCCTAACTTGGGTTACAGTGTGCTGTCTGTTTCTGAATAAAGCCATGCAGCAATTATGTTTTAAAAGCACAAAGTATTACGTGACGCATCAATTAAAATGTTATGGTCTGTTTTGTAAAATGTCTTTGAAGTACTTGAAAATAGCTCTTTGCTCCTATGTGTATTGATTTCACACCCTTAATATTTGTATAAAATAATTTGTAATCTGAATGGAGTTTTCTCACTTTGATAAAAAAGAACTGGTTGATTCACAACTGAAGTATTCTATTATCTGTCAGATAACTGACTGTTATTCATCTTTCACTCCCAATAGGAGAATGCAGCAGGACAGGTCTTCTGCATGTTTGCAGTCTTCAGTCGGGTATGAGCCCATCAGTCACCATGTCACAGATTCCACTTTTATGACATACCGCTTTCATCTCCTGAAGGGCATGAGGAACACTAAGATCTACGTACTAAGCTGGTTCCTGTAGGTTTACTAATGTCATTCGCAGCGGCCACAGCACAAAGCAAAAACACGATGTCACAAAGGTCGTTGATTCTGGGATAAAAAATCGAATGATGCCTTTAAATTGTTTTGAAATGACTCAAAAATAATGCGATATTTTTGTCAGAACTAATTATGTAAACCTTCCCCCCTTCACTGATGCTCTTCCATGTCCCTGCTGAAGAAAAAAGCCCCACAGCACGATGCTGCCTCTACCAGGTTTGACACTGACGATGGTGTGAGTAGGATAATGAGCAGGGTGCCTTCCATTATGTTGAGTGTGTCCCCCACTTGCCATTTTTGCGCAGTGTAAACCAGTATATGTACCATGCACATATTCCCCCAGATGAGCGATGGATGTCTGTAGCTCCATAGTTACCATTGGCCTCATGTCTGCATCTCTGAGGAATATTGCTCTTGCTTGTGCTGTGAGCAGACCACATCTTGGTAGGTTTGCAGTTGTGGTTAGTTTTTCCATTCTTGAGAAATCTTGAAAAATCAGATCATGAATCTGAAGAATCTGTATAAAACCCCACCAATACTTATTTGCTGACCTCTCTGGTGTGCCCCTTGGACTTCATGATGTTGTTCAGTGAGAAACACAGAGTCAACATAACTCTACTAAGAGAGAGCACATTATACTCAGCTGTACTTAATCACAAGGTGTGAGCATTGAACATGTTTATACTTGTATGTTTGTTGTAAAAAGTTGATAAAAGTTCAATTTGTACGCACACTGCATACAGTATCATAGTTTTAAGTTGACCCCATGAAACAAGGAAGCAAAAACAAACAGGAAAAAGAAACCATTTTGAAACGTGTTGACCATATACCAGCGTTATAATGTAAGACAGTGATTGGACACAGTATGCTGTCAGATATAGTATTTATTTCATTTTGGTTTCTGGGTATAACACTTAGGTGTTTGCATTAATGCAAAACAATGTAGGCCACTAGAAAAAAGAAAAAAAAGAGAAGAAAACAATAGAACACATATAATAACTGAAATATTAAATTTTAATTTATGGATATCCTGCATGAATTTGTTTTTGGCTGTTAAATTCCTACGACCATTTGAGATCACTCAGCAGTTCATAGCTGTCCTCTGTGATTTGACATGTGAAAATAATGAGCGAGCTATCTTTGCTTCAGTGACTCATTCAGTTTTCAACAAACGCCCCAGGCGACGTCTGTGACGGAAAACACAACCAACAGCTTATCAAAAAGAGCACTTTAAAAAAACAACGGTATGAACTCACCCTGAGCCTTTGCATTTATACCCTTCAGTCATGGTTGAGAAAACTTAAAAAGAGAACACAGATTCCATACTGTATAGAGAAACATAGGACCGAACTTAGTGCAAAGTTATCTCAGACAAGGGAACCACGCACAGCTGACCAGCGCTGTCCTGGCTTTATAAATTAAAAGTGAAATCAATTGTTCCACAAGATTTCAGCAAATTTTGGAACATAACCAATGCTCCTTAAGCCTCCTGCTATCTCTTTTGTTAGAGTCCATCTTAAGAGGCGTTTCAATATGTCATCAGCCCAACACTTTAGGAGTCCACCATCTTCCATGTGAATGGGACTAATCCACACGGTCCAAGGGTCCACATGGTCCAAGGCACACAGTTCTCCATCTCCATTTCCACTTAAGCTCTCACTTCACTCTCAGGGCTGGAGGCGATGCATCTGAAGGCGTCCCACATTTGGTCTTTTAGCCTTGCCTCATGGACGCAAATGTTATCTAACCTTCAGAAAAGAGTTCAAGCAAGAAAAAGGTGGGATAAGAAAGGATAGGGTGGGGGTACAGAAAAAAGACATTTAATGAATTAAAAATATATATCTGATTGATATGAATTCAATATCAATCAGATGAATAGATCAGTTTGTGGTGGTATTTGGAGGTGCCAATGGTATAAACAGGTCGTCTTGCTTGTGTAAATCTGCCTTAGGGCAGCCGTGGCTAAAGCAGTTTATCACTTTGTATGGAGTGAATGAGTAATGCCATGAGTAGCGTGTTTGCGTGTCCAACAAAGCGCTGAATAAAATTAATGCATTTATTATACTACAATTTGTTTGTTTGCTTGTTATTACTAGTATAAACACATGACACATGTCACCTTTAAATGCTTTTGTATTTATTCAGAAATTAGCCTTACATAAGCTTCTAACTTTGCCATTTTCTTATTTAATCCTCAAATCATAATAAATGTCAACATAAGAAGTTTTCCACATCTGCGTCATATACAGTTTGCATTTTCACATCTTAAAATATTCACATTTTACTTTTCAAGACTTTGTTGAGACAAACCAGAATAATCTTTCATGAAAAAATAATAAGTACTTTTTTTTAAATGTTGCTAAAGTAGAAGATACTGATAAAATAAATAAATTGTAGATGAAGGTTAAATATAAGACTGTATAAAAGGTTATTTAACAGGATTAAAACCAATGAGTCATTTCATTTCTTTCAGCCACAATAATCCTCACGGTAAAAACCATGTCTGTCATTCTATTCTTCTTGATTAAAAACAAACTGTCATGTGCATCTTTTTAAATGCCAGGATGAACAGTTGTTTTTGTCCTGGACACTCCTTTCATACCTTTCTAATAATAATAATGCATCGGTTTTAAAGTGCTTTTCTGGACACTCAAAGTTGCTTCACATGTCATCATCTTCTTTCATTACAGAAAGTCATAATTTTGAGTTATAAACTAAAAATTACGAGTTATAAACTAAAAATTACGAGTTATAAACTAAAAATTACGAGTTATAAACTAAAAATTACGAGTTATAAACTAAAAATTACGAGTTATAAACTCAAGCCACGGCCGCCCTATAGGAGAACACTGACAGAAGCAAGGCAAACATTATTTTCCATCTGCCCCTCTGACCCCCTCTGCGTCACAGCATGCATACGTGCGTAACATTTTTCCATGTTAACGTATGGTGATATTTACACTAATAGTGATGACGGACGTGTGACGGACGTGTGACGGACGTGTGACGGACACGGCGAGGCTGCGTCTAAATTAGAATGGATATCTAATTTTGCGCGCACAGTGACGCTACTCCGAGTCAGTACACATGGGAAAAATGAAATATTAGGAGGAGGCAGGTTTCACAGTGATTCTGAACATCGTTATTGTTTCTTTCATTAAGTCTCACGTCTGGCCAGACTAGTTCACAGAGACTAGGAGGACAAACACAACATGTGATTTTACATCAGTCTTCGGCCCGTACTGTCCTCTACACATGGACTGCATCAGCGGCCGCGTACCTGTGCGCACGGCCAGTCTATACACAGCCGCGTAATGTTACGTGCGTTTAGCGCGCAGTCAACGCCTACGGGCTGTGAATGCCTACTGTGCCTTGCCTAAGCACGCAACAATAGTTTGGCACTTTACAGCCGCAGATGCCCAACTGTGGTACATGGTGATCTCAGAGGTCTCCCATCACAGTACTACCCAAGCCCTGCACACATTTAAAATGCGCACACCACTTCTCACTGCTCCACTGATTTTGTGTGTCTGTTTGTTTCAACATTGTAAGGCTGCTGTCACTTCACTGCACTAATAACATCTATTGTGTATACTTGTATATAGTATCCTTGTATAGTGTTTACAGTATTATTTTATTCTATTTCTATTTCCATGCATGCCTTATTCTATTTTTACTTGTTTAACCTGTTTGCACAAAGCCATTTCCTGGTTTGTGACTTTCTCTTCCTCACAATGACAATAGATGGAATACTAAAAGTACAATTAGTTTTTATTCTGAAACCCCGAGACAGATCAACTGCCCAATTAGATATATTGACACTGTGTCATTATCAAATCCAAACTAAATTATTGTCTGTTGCGTGTTTGTTTCATTAGTTTATGAAGTGGTTGAAAGAATAAATAACTGGCAACCCAACAGACGGGGCCGACAGTAGCTCAGTTGGTAGAGCATTGGCCTTCAGGCCTGAAGCTCGTGGGTTCAATTCCCACCTTGACACCTTCTCCACCGACTCCCACTGATGACTGCTGTCGTTGTGTCCTTGGGCAAGACACTTAACCCCACTTTTCCCAAAGCCCCCACTGAAAGATCAAGGCTATGCTCACAGTCAGAGAGCAGCCACCCTCCTGTGGACTCACCACCTGCAGAGGGTCAGTGAGGGGCTGGTGCTGCCAACCCCCTGACCCAGAAATGGATTAAAGGGTAGAAAATGGATGAATGGATGGATGGATGGATGAATAGTGCTGACCTTCTGCAGCTCCTCCCTGAGCCAGGAGGGCAGCGGTTGCCCCAGGCGATGCAGCAGCTTGGACAGCTCCACATTGTGCTCTCTGTAGTACCGCGACAGGTATACCCGCGCCTACACACATACATACACGCATGGACACACACAAACAAACATGGACACACAATTTCATACACAAGGACATACACATACACAAGGACACACACAAACATACACATGGACACACACACATACATACACAAGGACACAAACATACACATGAACACAAACATTCATCCACAAGGACACACACAAACATACACATGGACACACACAAACATGCACATGGACACACACAAACATGCACATTGACACACACATACATACACATGGACACACACACACACGCACACACACGTACATACGCATGGAGACGCACGCACGCACCCACACACGCACATATGCGCACACACAAATACACATGGATATTTGCACACAGACACACACACATACATACACATGGACACCCAAACAAAAAACGCAACAGTTTAAGAAATACAATATGTTTAAAAATATATAAACAAATTAATATATTTAGTTTTTTAAAAAGTTCAAGCTCATCGTTATCATTATTTATCTTTGAGGTGGCACAATGGCTGGTTGTATTCAGGTTGGAACAGAAGTTTTTAGAGTGGAGTTGCATGTTCTCCCTGTGTTTGTTTAGATATTGCTTCTGGGCACTCTCGTTTTCCCCTACATCAGAGACCTTTTTCTTTTTTTTCTTTTTTAATCCTCCAGCTCCGGTAATCCTGACCAAGCTGAGCATCAACACCTGGGGATGGGCCCAAGGTGCTGCACTGCGACGACCACTGCCCCAATGGCCCACATGGCCTCACAGATTGGGTCAAATGCAGAGGCCCAAATCCTTCAACATGTTAGAATCGGGACATTCCCTTCTACATTCTTATCTCTATCAATGTTATTATCGCTGACTACACTGGTTATGAAACATTCTTTTCTGCAAAAAAGGATATTGGTTCCTGCTTATACTCTTATACAACTTACAGGGTTAGAGCTGCCTTGTGTATGAACTGTGCTTATACATAAACACGCTCCTTGCCCAAACACATTTTGTAACATTGTACATTTCTTAACAGATGGCTAAAGCATCCAACCTTTTTCAAATGGTGAGCTACTTTTATGCAACAGAAGGGGTAGAGAGCTACTCCCTTTAGCGGTCATAATAAAACTCTATGTAATAAATATGACAAAACATGGAATACTGTATAACCCTAACATATCCCATCATAATACTGTATACCCTATATTCATTCTTAAAATAGGAATAATGTAATGACTCAAAAGTGAATCATTCAAGATCATGTGTTAAATTTGAAATCCTTTGAGGAGCTATCTAAGAGGGGCTGGCGAGCTACTGGAAGCTCCCAAGCTATAGGTTGGACCCCTGGGCTAAAGGATAGTTTGCAACATTTGACTCAAGGGTTTTATGACACGATGCAGTGATTTGAATGTGAGCTTTTTTGATAATAATAAAAATAATAATGCATCGGTTTTATACAGCGCTTTTTTGGATACTCAAAGACGCTTCACATGTCATTATTCTTTCACTTGATACACAGTGGTGATGAACTACTACTGTAGCCACAGCTGCCCTGGGGCACACTGACAGAAGCGAGGCAACCAGTATGTTCCATCGGCCCCTCAGACCACCGATGCATCAGTAAATTCACTGGTTCACACACACAGGAACCAGTGAATTTACTGTAAATCTGTGCGTCATTCACTTCTGTGCGTCATGTCTATAAACGCCGTTCTAATAATACCGTTTATAGGCATGACAAAAGCATTCTTCAAGTGTCAAAGAAAAATATACAGGACAATCACTACAATAATTACAGGTGTCTTTCTGTAACCTGGACTCGCCTTTCATTCCTTTTCCTGTTCAGACAACATTCTAAAATAAACCTTTTGTTTGTTGTTTTACAGAAGAAGTCATTAAGGCCTAAGTAAATTGTCGTGACTGGAATAATTTGGACAAAAGACTGCTGATCAAATGATATGCCTTTGTACATTTCATTATATATAACAATAACTTTAATAATCAAAAGTATAATTATGTGTTTTAGTTCTTTGTACTTCTATTTATTTAAAACCTTACAATTCTATTTGATTGTTGTTTTTGTGAATGAAATTAGGTTATATTAATATTTCAATCCTTACATTTTCTTATTCTAATTATTTTTAGATTCCTTTTTTTACTGAAGGGTAAGACTTTCTAATTTCACTGGGCCCATTTATAAGTGTTATAATGATTTGTATAGGCTGAACATCTGGCCTTTTAATTTTACCTCCACAGTTGAGTCCTGAAATACATAGTTTATTAGAGTTAAAGCTGGGATACCTAACTTTTCTCCTTAAAATAACCCATGTTGTGTGACCCAACAGAAGGATCCTTTTAAAAGTGTTGTGATCATACCACAAGAATATGCTGTCTTCATCAAATAAAAAGTTAAATTATACCTGTCATTGTGTTTGTGCTTTGGGCTGAGAGCTCATTGTCTGAGTATTAGTGGTCCTCTCGTTTACACTTTTTCTGTCTGAAAAAGCTGATCCGAAGATGTGACAGAAGTAAAAGCAAAACAAAATACACATGCATGTGAATAGTTATGATGATAGATTCAACCTGTTTTCTGAATGAGGAATAGATTTTGTTTTTGGGAATTGAAAGTTGGTTCTCCCAGCTTTAAATAAAAATCCCCTCATGTCTTCACACAGTTTCTTGTAGGGCAAGTGTGCGATCACTCAGGGAGACATGAATAACCTTTGTACATGTGGAACTATTTGTCAGAATAGATTTCAATCCCCATTGAAGACAAAGATATATGGATAGTATTTTACTCAGGTCTCATAGCTCCCCTTGTGGCACCAATGTCACTCTCCAGTTTCTATAACAGTAATTATGGCGTTGCCTAACAGATGCCTTTCTCTTGAGAAATCTCTGAGTCACACTCCCTGACACCAGAGTGCAGACGTACCTCAGATTCCATTGGAGGATACTTTCTGCCTTTGCTTTTCCCCAAACATTTTGTTTTTCCCCCGTCAAGGAGCTGGCACCAAAATCCTTTCTGAGGGTCAAACCTAGAAACACAAAAGATTATTACCATTAATATGAGGAACACTGTAGACCAACTTTATTTGATTTGAGTCAATTTTCATAATTTGTATTGTTTGTTTCTACCCTGGGCCTGTGTGTGCATTTTTAATAAAAATAAAAACAATTTTTACAGGAGTGTCTAGAGGTGCAACGGTTCATCACTGATCCGTGATCCGTTCGGTTCAACGTCTTCGGTTCGGTACAGACGTGATCCGCGGTTTGATTTATGAAAAAAAAGTTGTGCGCACGTTGTTCAGTCCACACACAGCGCGGTCATTGCGAGCGGAGGAACGGAGATGCTTGAAAGCCCTGCGTCATTTAAATCCCCAGTATGAGAGCATTTTGGCTTCACTGTAACTACACTGATAATTAATATTCGACAAAACTGTCACGATGTGTAAGCACTGTGGCACAAGAAAGACATGAGTGAAAAAAGCGTCTCAACGACCGCTTATTGCCGCAGCATTTAAGCAGCTCCTTTACGCACAGTCAGACCGGGCTAAAGTCAACTCTCCCGCGCATCCTCAGCTGCGCTCACGAGTCACGACTGACGCTCGGACGTCCCGCGGAACCTATAATAGATCCATGAGCGGAACCGCTCACTTCATCACCGCAGACTGGGAGATGAAAAGTCTGGCGCTGCAGACACGCCCCCTCTACGACAGTCACACAGTCACACAGCGCAGGTACTGACACAAGCAGCGGAGGAATGGAAGACAAAGGCCCAGTACTAATATCCCAGTCACAACTGATAATGCCAAAAATTAAATAAATGCAGTGAATAAGGCTGGGCCCAGAATGGAGCGCCTCCTCGGGAGAATCAGGAAGGTGGTGTAATATATGAGAGTAAATATCCTCATAAAGTGCCTTCTTATGTTGCACTTTGTGTTGTTTTTCATTAATTATGTTAAATAGACATAATTGGATGGATGGAATATTCCATCCATCCATCCATCCATTTCCTTCCCCTTAATTCATTTCTAGGTCAGGGGGGGCAGTCAGAGCAGGTGCCGAGTCCACATGAGCTGTGTTTATTAAAAAGACAACACTTTTTTTTTGAAAAATGAACCGAAAAATGAACCGAACCGTGGCCTCTGAACCGAGGTACGAACCGAACCGTGATTTTTTCAAACCGTTGCACCCCTAGGAGTGTCCTAAATGTAAATACCTTACCTTACTTAGTTATTAAGTATGTTAAGGAACATTAATTTTCTTAAGAATTCATCCTTCCAGTGCCCCAGGGCAACGCTTCAGGTGTATTCCATTCTAGACAGAGCGCGTGCTTCAAAGCAGACGGTTCAATCAAAAAAAAAGACAAAATCTCAAGATACAAGGTAAATCTCAGTGATATGGATTTAATACATTACACAATTGTTTATGCATGTCTAAGGTGAACATACACAACACTGACTAAAGATACACAGTCTTTTTCAAGTTGTCACGTGTTCAATCTACAATCATTCTGCCCTTCTTCCTCCAGTGTAGTTGTTTTTGTTTTTTGTTGTTGTAGCAATAATCTTTTTATGTGCAAAAAAATATAATACATTGTTTAAGGTTGACACTAGGTTTATATGGCCCTGTATAATGTATTTTTATTTTTTTTGCTAGCTCTCCGTGACTTTATTCTTAACAGAGAGTTGCTCAAGGTTTCCTTCTGTCTCTGTGTCCCTTGTTCTGTCTTGGGCAGCAGATGTGAGTATCTGTCCACCCACTGCCATGTCATCAGTATTGTCTACACTTAAGAGCAGGGAGAGCGACTCCAACATTGTTAACATTGTTAACACACAGTAAAAGTAGCAGTATGTAATATTTTCGAATACATCTTTAACTGATAACAGTTGTTCAGCCGAGATATTTGAGTATCAAAATTAGTTTGAAAATTAGTTTTACGACCCGTAAAAGATGTTATTGTTTTCATTTTGAAGTCCCACCCTCCGCCGTTTCGCCAATTAGAAAGTCTGATATCCGGGTTGCCAGAAATCAACACTAAAGCCAGTGGAAGTAAGCTGCTTACCACTAGATGTCAGTGTTTGCACAGTTTTAACCCTGAGAGTAGCAGCCGTATCACTCACGTGAGAGCCTGGGAGTAGTTGAAGTGAGGAGTCACTCCAAGAAACTTCTGCACTTCATCCATAACAGAAGCAGGGTCAGATCTGAGCTGGTGACCATCAATGACCATCACCTAAACAAACAACATTACTGAGTACAACAGTCTGTTAGTAAAAAAATAATTAAATAATAAGAAAACACTGGAATACATTCAACCCTCCATCCATTTTATTTCCCATTTTGTTGAACAGGCAGCCTCTCCCTCTACATGCACATTCCTCATCTCGTCCTAATCCAGGGACACTCCCAGGCAGCTCAGGGACATACGGGTCAGGGATGGGACCGAGCGGGTGGAGAGCACTGTCCTAACCTCCTCTGACTGGCGTGGTTTTACTGTTGACATTTTCATACAGCAGCCCCAACATTTATACCCAGGGCCAAATGGAGTGTGGACGCAGAACTCATATTTGAGCATACCAAAACAGAATCTATGCGGATTCTTTTCCCTTCGGAGTAGCCAAAGGTCAGTGTCACATAGAAAGTGCCTCAAACCAATGCACTGCATCCAACCTGCTCCAAAGTCGAATAAATAGGTGGCATTGAGCTGCACCAGCCGTCAAAGGGAGCCATGAGCAGCGTATGTTTGTTCCCGGTGTATGCTCTGGAGGGAACATGCCCGGATGAACAAATACATCTAAATATATAACTTAATTCCATGAATGTTGCTGCAGATTTTTCTTTGTAGCTGAAGTTGGGAAAATTTTAAGGTTTAAATTGATTAAACATTGTGCACATTAGTTATGAGTAATGTATTATTAGTTATGAGTAATGTTAGTATCGTTCGTTCTGAGTAATGTATCATTAGTTATGAGTAATGTATCCTTGTGATCTTTTGTGTATTTTGCATATTTTGTTCATGCAGAAACATTACAAAGTGCAAACTGCAGTGAAATGGCCGTTTCTCATTCACCTTTGCGTAGACTGCATGTATAATTGAAAAGAAGATAGTGTCAGACTCACCTGGTTGGCAGGGTAGTAAGTGAGCCACCTCTCGAGGTGCGTGGAGTACAGCCCCGGGAGCAAGCAGCGGTTCTGCAGAGAGCGCAGCTCGGCCGGAGCTCCAGCTGTAGCGCTGATGACATCATAGAAGGTAAACTTCAGGGCAGCGTGGTCCTCATGGGCTCTCTGGTGCTTCAGGTGCGGAGAATAAAACGTCATTTTTATACAAATATAAATCAGAATAGTTCTGATGGTGTGGTTGGTTTTACGTATTCTGTCATATTACTTAACACCGCATAAATGTGGTCCACTGTTACCTCAGTTTGAAACCTTAAAGAGATACAAATCTTTACTGTGAAATCTTTATCTGCTTCTTTTTATGCTAGAGTGAGAGATTACATTTTATTATAGATTTTTGATTCTATTTTAATTTATCTTGTGCTGTGTGCTCCTCATTCCTTCTTGTGATGCAACACTGAGGGACGAATACAGGACCTCTTAATCCTAATCTTTAGATCAGTGAAAAAATACAGGACCAGCCCACTCTCAGCCAATCCGCTCTTGGCATCTTATTCTAATAAGATAAAGACTGCATGTTGCTGTCTGATTTGTGTCCAGATTAAATAAATACACAACATGCCGTGACATCACACTCAGGTCTAACAAAAGGGTCAGAGCAGATTGTGATGCACTAAGGACTGACATGTGATTGTGTCTGCACATTTACTGTACCTGGTACCAGCTGTAGGCCCTGTCAGACGGGTTGATGAGCAGAGTAATGATCTTGGCTTTGGGCAGTAGTGCAGCAGCTCTCTGTGGGGTGTCCTCCGAAGGGAAGTAGTTAGCACTTTTCTCAAAGAGGAAGTCGGTGCTCACATTAGAGGGCACAGGGAAAAACTCCATGTACCTGAAGCACAACACAGCAGTGGAGAAAGTATAAGCCTGTAGTACTGACACCCATCAGAGCATAAACATAATATCAATCAGCTCAGAACATGCAGTAATTACACGCTCTCAAAGTCAGGTACAATTTCAAAAGTCAAACACTTCCAAGTGCCTATTACGGCGTCATTCTGAGTTTTGACTGCCATCTACAAGACACAGTGTCAGTATAACAGTGGTTTCTGGATGACTTTGGGAAGCAACAGCTGTCTCTGTCGGTAAGTAACCCTTTTATGGGTCAATTTAGGCGGCCATATGTCTTTTAGCTTCTAGATGCAGACGGCAACGGATCATTTTCAACACGTAGACATCCATTCACCATCGATTTGCAAGTGCTACGTACGTCTCCCCATTTTCGACAAAACAGGTAAAGCGGCAGAGGCGGAGGTCTTACCAGTCAATGCCCTTGTGGTAGTTGTTGGTGTTGAAGAACTGGACTTCCTCGTATGTCTTAGGACTGGGGAAATTACTGGAGATGGAGGGGTGCATGAGGAGAAAGAGATAAAGTGCTGTCGTTCCTGCAAGAAAGGGCATAATTCATAAACGACTCGTTAATTTCAGATCAGCAGAGAGTGTGTGAGTGTGTGTGAGAGCTGTCAGCCACTGATCCATACCACCATTTCTTTCCCTTTGGACCAGAGTTATATCTTGCAGAAAATACATTGTGTGTGTGTGTGTGTGTGTGTGAGTGCAGACCTTGCCACAAAATGATTCAGAACTATTTGACACCAATCCGCAGTGGGGCTCTGGGCGTGCCCTCTGTCTCACCCTCAGCAGCTCACTTCCTCTTACATTGATTCAGACAACCTGCTCCTCTACCCTTTCCTAATATCCCATTTTCAGTCACATAGATTGTGACACCTAAACATGGTAAATAAACATACAACGTATTCATCAGCCCTTACAACTGGCAACACAGAATGTAAAGTATTATCAGGGATTTGTCTTTGGAGAGAACAAAGAGACAGTGGGGGTGGGTTAAGCAGTATTTCAAGACTTCTGAAAAAAATTGTAATGAAAATAACGTATTTTAATTAGAACTCATGTTTGCAAACACATCTCAAAGTGCTACAGCAGGATAAAACCTTCCTAAATAGAAACATTTCCAAGCTGGAGTACCTAACTTTTTTTTGGTTTCATAAATATATTTAGTTTGTCCAACAGATAATCTTTGAATAACCTTTTGTGAACAAATTGGATCACAAAAGGCTGTCTTTATCTTCTTAGAAAACATTTGATCTTTTACTAACCGAGAGCTGAGTGAGGGGGGTTTTCTCTTCTTCACTGAAAAAGCTGATCTAAAGATGTGACAGAGGCAACGCTTGGTGAATTCTGCTTCACAGGAGGAGCCGACATGGAAGGATCAAAAAACGCAATGTTGCAATGAATGCTTGGCCGCCACAAGCCAGTTACCTCTAGTGAATACCAGTGATAGAATCAAACTGTTTTAATGCCAGGAAGTAGTGACATGGAGTTCATCTTAGATTACTTTTTTTGTGGTTCGCACGTTAGACACTCCCTCCTTAATGTGCTGTTTGAACAAGAAATGTTGCGAGTTACTTTTGGCTATTAAATACGAAATATACTGTTGGCAAAATATCGATTCAGATCAAAGAATCAAACAGTATATTTCCTATGCGCTAATGGTTTGATTATATGATGTGCTGTTGGCGAATCAAGAACTTTGTAAAGTCCTTTGAAACAAACGCAGTTGTGATTTAGGGTTAGAATGTGTCAATATCCAGTAGAAAAGATAAGCTGCGTAAATATTGCAATCAGCCCACCCCCTTTGCTTACAACCAGATAGAATATGTTGTGATTTAATTCTGAATAGCCACGCAATTAGAAATAATGTACTTAGATAGGAACACCAGGTGCCACAGAGGGTTGGTTGAGGCTGTAAAGTGTCAAATTGTCTTTGTGTCCTCAGGCAAGACACTTCACCCATGTTGTATGAGTCTGGGGAGCATTTAGACAGAAGGGCTTGAGTTACATGTCTGTGCCAGAACCTCCTGATGGGTGTGGGTGGATTGTGAAACAACTCCAGGTCTGTTTTTGATGAGGGAACAATGTTGTCACACAGAGAAAAGCTCAAAAAAAGTTGAATTTGCACAATGTGTCACCTAAAGCAGTCCACAGATACAGTAAGTGCAGCAGCCCCCAACCACTTTGTCTCTGTCTGACAAGATATACACTACATAAAGTGATTTGAAAAAGGACTCAAAAATTGCTCAAATTTGGCAAAGTGTATCTTAATTTGAGCACATTTTGACTACTTTAAGAGATTTTCCAATGGGTCAAGCAAAATGATCTTGTTTTAAGAAGATTCAAGAAATGTCTCCCTTGGAATGAGAACATAAAGTAACAGATTAAGTTTAAGATTAACTAAGATTAAGAGATCCTTTATTCGTCCCACAGCGGGGAAATGTCAGTGTTACAGCGAAAGATACATTAATAATTCTATATTAGAATAAAATAAAGAAATATTTCTAACTCGAGCATAAAAAGAAGCAGTAGAAAATCTCTATCTTTAGCTTAATATGGAAATAAGTCTTCAAATCTCAAAAAGACTAAGTGACTGGTCCCACTGGAAAATATTGCTTTAAGACTGTCAGAATGTACTGAAATTAAGATAAAAATCACTCAAGGCAATCAATTATTACGTCATAAGTTTTGTTTTTAGCAGTGTACGTGTAGGCTTCCCCACCTGCACACACAAGCCCTGCACCTGCATGTGAGAGCGGGCGGGCGGGTTTTACCTGTCTTCTGAGGCCCCACCACCATGAACTTGGGCAGTCTGTCACAGGTTTTCTCTTTGGACCAGATGTCTTTATGCCGCTTGTCATCACATGGGTTCTGCCAGAACACAGACGCAGACTTTTAAACATACTCAAGCAGCAGAGCAAACAGGCAACATAATGAGCGCATGTCATTACAAAGCCGAACGCGGCAGAGAGAGCACAATATGAGCAAACACACCTGCCACAGAGGATTTCTTTGTTCGGGGAAGAGCTGGAAATACTTGTGGGCAAGCTGGAGAGGAGGCAGCGTGTGCAGCTGGAGGTTGGTCCATGAACGCAAGAAGGAGGCCAGGTGGACGAAGGTGTACAGACCCAAGCGGTCGTTGCCGTAGTTGGACAAGTGTGTCATGAATATACTGATCTACACAAGAAGAACAGAGACAAGAAACAAACACAACATATGTTATTGTTTAGCAGTGCATACAACTGAGGGATTGTATGTTCACTCTTTTGAAGGTGATTGTGTATGATGGCAAGGCTTTGTGGGATTTGGATCACAACTGCTGTGTGTATGAGACGGTGTTTTGTTAAGAAAGTAAGTAAGCAATCTTTATCTATATAGCGCCTTTCTCAGATCAGAGTCACAAAGCGCTTTATTTTTTGGGCACTTGTCTCTCACTCCACACAGAGATGGGTGCGAGGTCGCCAGTACAGGAGGCACATGCCAGACCTTTTGTACTTGTTTTTAGTGATGGGGAAACCGGAGCACCCGGAGAAAAACCTACGCAAACACGGGGAGAACATATAAAAATCCACTCAGAAAGGTTCTGTTCCGACCGGGATTCGGACCCACGACGTAAGCACTTTGAGTTACCTTGTGCATGAACTGTGCAATACAAATAAATGTGCCTTGCCTTGCCTCACCCTGCATCGTAGAAATGGCAGCGTTGTATATCAAAATGTGAAAATGTATGTGAAAAATATAAGAAATAAAGGCTTAACTTTATGAGTCTGTCATATGGTTTCAACTGTAAAACACATCAGACCTAAAACAGAGATCTGATGTCACAATTATGATGTCATGATACAGTTCCAAATTGAGAACTGTGTCATGTATGTGTATGTGTATGTGTATGTGTATGTGTATGTGTATCTGTATGTGTATCTGTATGTGTATCTGTATGTGTATGTGTATCTGTATCTGTATGTGTATCTGTATGTGTATCTGTATGTGTATCTGTATCTGTATCTGTATGTGTATGTGTATGTGTATGTGTATCTGTATGTGTATGTGTATGTGAATCTGTATGTGTATGTGTATGTGTATGTGTATCTGTATGTGTATCTGTATCTGTATCTGTATGTGTATGTGTATGTGTATGTGTATGTGTATGTGTATCTGTATGTGTATCTGTATCTGTATCTGTATGTGTATGTGTATGTGTATGTGTATCTGTATGTGTATGTGTATCTGTATCTGTATGTGAATCTGTATGTGTATGTGTATGTGTATGTGTATGTGTGTGTGTATCTGTATGTGTATGTGTATGTGTGTGTGTATCTGTATGTGTATGTGTATGTGAATCTGTATGTGTATGTGTATGTGTATGTGTATCTGTATGTGTATGTGTATCTGTATCTGTATGTGTATGTGTATGTGTATGTGTATCTGTAACTGTATCTGTATCTGTATCTGTATGTGTATGTGTGTGTGTGTATGTGTATGTGTATCTGTATGTGTATCTGTAACTGTATCTGTATGTGTATGTGTATGTGTATGTGTATGTGCATGTGTATGTGTGTGTATCTGTATGTGTATGTGTATGTGTATGTGTATGTGTATCTGTATGTGTATGTGTGTGTATCTGTATGTGTATGTGTATGTGTATCTGTATGTGTATGTGTATGTGTATGTGTATGTGTATGTGTATCTGTATGTGTATCTGTATGTGTATGTGTATGTTTATACATATATCTTTGTAAATGTGCTATTATGTTGCTCCTCCCACACCCAATTGTGTTGTCTTGAAAAGATTCTGTGCTTCCTGCATACTTTGTTTCTGTATGTTCCTTATAGACGAGTTGACGAGTGATATCACAGGCACATGTTTATGATCTCGCTTGATGCCTGCAAAGTCAACGGTATAACTTGAGAAGAATGCGACTGAAAGGTTCAAACAAACTTTGAGTCAAAATCACATGGTCTTTTCACTGATCACTTTATTGGAGTTGTGTGCATGTAAACACCATATACTGTAATAGCTTTGCAGAAATATTTTTCCTCTTTGTCCAAAGCTACAACCATCTGCTACCATTTGAAAAACCTGCGGCGCAATTTGTATGAACGCTATGGTAATCGCAGAAACAACAAAACAACAAAAGTGGCCCTTCAATCATTCAATGTTTCATTCATACTATCCTCTGTTCCATCACCATGAACGAGTATCCAAAATGAAATGTCAGTGTTAAAAGCTGTGTGGGGGCCTCTCTCGCAGGTTAACAGTGCTGTCTATAAATCTTTGCACTCGATTTAAGTGAGTCGAGCTTCTTCTCCCTCGATTTAATGTGTCTAAATGAATACAAAAAAAACAACAACAACAAAACAGTGTTTTTCCCCAGCTGCTTCATGAATAATGTAGGATTGATACATTTAATGTCATAATGTGAATCATGAATGTAAAGCAAATGGTTCTGTCAATGGCGAATTGTAGCACACAAAGTAAAAATGTAGTGTCTCATTGTTCCATTGTCTGTTTCATGGCGCAATAATGGGACCCCTAAACCCGACTGCCCTGTCCAGCACGACTCTGGGAGCACCCGCCTGGGAGCTGCATCAGGCCTGCATCTCACTTGTCCTGGTTCTATAACCTGAGTCATGTGCCGCATGGCCTTGATCCTTGTTCTGAGGCTTAGGTCCTGGATCCCCGTGCGTCCGTGTGGAGCGGATCTCTCTCAATGTGGATCTCCCCGAGGTTTCTCACTTTTCTCCCACTAGGTTTCTGAGTTTTTCCTTGCCAATGCCGAGGGTCTGTTGGACAGTTAGTGTCTAACAAGAAGGACTGCGGTGATGATTCAGGACACTTTAACATTATACAACATGTGGATATTTATCAACATTCATGGAATTGATCATCTCCCTATAAGGACCAACACAAATGTGTTCTATATTCTTTGTGTTTGAACTGTGATTTAAATTCCTCTGGGATAATTACTGTTGTGATTTAGGGCTATACAAGAATACATTGAATTTAATTGAATTAATCAAACTGTTTTAGCTGATCTATTTCGTGTTGGAAACCTGTGTGGAATGTGTAATGAATCACAACGGACAAATTGTATTGTACGCGCATATTATTTTTTCTTCAAAAACAAAACCAAATACTTTTAAGTTACACTTGTCAATGACTGAGCACTGTCCTTTATTAAAGAAAATAATAACAAATCTGAACAAGACCAAATGTATAGAAAGGGGTTTCTCATATATTGCTGAAGTCAGAATCTCATTTCCCCAGACCCGGAGTCACTGAAGGACTGAGTAAATTTAATTATTCTGTTGTGACTGCAGCAAAGAGAAAACAGATTATTTCTATGTGGTAAACTTAAAAAGAGTCCGGGGCTGTCACAAAGTGCAGAGTAACATTTTTGTTATGAAGTAATATTGTTTAGTATTAAAGCATTACAGACTGAGGATTAGACATGGGGCCTTAGACAGACAGGAGGTCGATGCTGACATAAACTTTTGATAAAACTATTTTCCACGGTGTCCACAGACACATGACAACCAAACAAATACCACTGCGACTGCACTGCTATTGTTGAGCTCACTATCGCTCTCTGTTGTCAAGTCAAATAATACATCTGATTTGATGGTCAATACTATATACATTGAGATCACATCTTCAACACAAATTAAAATTACAGTAGGAAGTTTCCCTTCGATCATCCCATATTTGTGCAATAAAAATAGGGCTCATATCTTGTATACTCTATTTACTGTATAATAACCTTCAGGTAAACATTTCAAGGCTAAGTGTGTGGTCTGCTTATGTGACGGGTTTAGAAGGGAGTGGTGGTTCAGATGGTGGTTCGGTGGTTTAAAGAAAAAGAATGAAATATTGATTTTATAGAATTGAATACTTCCTATGTCCTTTTCAGTTATTTCTGATAATCATTGTTTGTATTTTTTTTTACTTATTTTGTGGAATTTTTTAACGTCAGCTAATGCAATATTTCCTCCGCCAGGTTTGTTCAGATATGAGACATGGTGCAAATTCCAGGAGGCCAATCCCTGTGCTACTCAAAGTCTGAGTTGGTTCATATATAGCACTAACTAATGTCACAGATGTAATATTATTGTGGAAATAAAGCAAAAAAAAAAATTGTATATGTCAATACCGCTAAGTCCATGGAATACAACTTTCTCTGCAAAAGATTAAATCTGCTAAGTTGAGTGTGGCTGCAGCACACTCCCTGCAGCCACTGGGAAAAGGCAGTGGCGCACCAGTTAGACACCAGAGGCCGTTAATGTGAGCGGGGAACAGCGAGAAGGCAGTGATAATGTGTTATTCCAGACTATCTATCCACGCCTCACTGCTTTTATGGGCTGATCAAAGAGACAAGCAAAGATAGCGGCTATACAGACAGCAGCCTCCTTTGTGATAGGAGGAATGGGAAGTGTGGGGATAAGACTTCAGCAGCCATTAAGATATGAATTATTGTGCTGCTCTGAGCACGTGTGAAATCTGTATTTGTGGAATGGGCCTGCTGGCGTGAATGACAACGGCCGCACACACATGCATGCACCGCGCATTAGTGACAGGGAAGCAGCCGGGATGGTGAAGGTTGCCGTAAATACAAAGAGACACAGTGTCGGAGAGTTTGATGGATCAGCGTCCGGCCAACCTGGAAGGCAGCTCGGAATACTGATGCTTTTCCTAAAAAGTGACATGTGTGAAAGAGAGATGTGAGAGAGAGAGGGGGGGTGACAGCGAGACGGAGAAAGTATATACGTGTCACAAAAGGGCTTTATTCACGTCTCTGCGCGCGGCAGAATCATCCTTCACGCCCGCGAGGCTGTGTGCAATTGAAAGTGTCCAAAGATGTCTTCTTTCCAATCTACTTTGTCTCGGGGAAACTGTAGTTTGGAATTACCCTATCCAGCAATCAACTATATATACTGTACACAATTCTAAAATACTGTATCATGGCAAATGCTACACTTGCCAAGTTTTCAAGACAATATCTCATTAATGTCGAAGCTTATTTGGTATTCATAATTTCTAAAGTAATGAAGAGTTATCAAATGTTTATTAACATTTTGTCATGCAGTGAAGTGAAGGATGACCCAAGAGGGCAGGAATGTCAAAAAAAATGATTTAATGATGATAATAGATAAAAGTCAAGGGTTAAAAAGAAACTCAA